TATTCTGACAAAGGAAGGACTAAAACCAAACCCCAATAAAATTAAGGTTATTCAAGAATTAGATTTACCTAAAACAGAAAAACAAATCAAAAGTTTCCTGGGATTAACGGGATATTATAGAAAATTTGTGAGAGATTATGCTAAAGTCGCACAGCCAATAACAAAATACTTAAAGAAAGGTGTAAAAATAAATTTAAGGGACCCTACATACATAGAAGCTTTTGAAAAATTAAAATCTTTAATTAGCTCTCATCCAATTTTAAGATACCCAAATTATGAAAGACAATTTACATTAACTACAGATGCGTCGAATTACGCAATCGGTGCTGTCCTGTCACAGGAGGGACATCCAATTTGTTTTGCATCAAGAACGCTTAACAATCACGAAAGAAATTATTCGGCAACGGACAAAGAATTTCTAGCAATATTATGGAGCGTTAATTATTTGAGACCATACCTCTATGGTCGAAAATTTAAAATACTTACGGATCACCAACCCATCAGATTTTTACACACAAAATATAGAGGGAAAGACATGTCACCCAGGCACCAGCGATGGTTTTTGAAATTAGGAGAATACGATTTTAATATAGAATACATAAAAGGCAAGGAAAACAAGGTGGCAGATTTTCTAAGTAGAATTGAGAAAGATAATGAAGATGATACCATTTCAGATAAGGTACAAAATTCGGAGAATAATTCAGAATTGAGAATAATAAATAATATTGAGGATGATGATGATGTATCAATGATTACAATTCATTCAGCTGATGAAAATTTACAAGATCATTTCTTTATAAAAGAAGAAATAGTGAATAAGTACAGGACACAGATTATACTTACAAATGATAAAGTTCAGGAAATAAAACATTTACATAATAAAAGGATAATTTTCATAGCGGAAAGTGATTTTCACGAAATGGGGGAAATATTTAGAAAGTATATTACCAAAGGAAAAATAGGTATATTTTCGGAAGTATCGGAGAGAAGCTATAATACTGTTCAGGAAAAACTAATAGAAATGTACTCTAATGAGAAACAAGTGGAATTTATTAAATGCACTATCAGGGCTCAAGATATAGAAACAGAAGTGGAGGCGGTGAAACAGATATCATTATATCATGTAAAAGAAAGTATGCACTCGGGCATACAGGAAACCTATAACCAAATAAAAAATAAAATTTATTACCCAAGATTAATGGAACTAATTCAATTAGTTATAAATCAATGTGAAGTTTGTCAGGAGATAAAATATGATAGAAATCCAATTAAATTGAAATTCTCATACACAGAAACACCGTCGACGAAAAACGAAATAATACATATTGACACATATGTGATTAAAAGATTTCATTTTTTGACAATAATTGATAAATTTTCTAAATTCGGTGCAGCGTATCCATTGAATGATAGAAATCATTTAACAATAATGGAGCAATTAGATGATCATTTTACAAAGGTAGGGAAGCCAAGGAAAATAATAGCCGATAATGAATTTAAAACCACTAGACTAAAGGAATTCTTAGACAATGAAAATATAGAATTGCATCTGACCAAACCTAATAGTCACACGGGAAACGCCGACATAGAACGATTTCACAACACAATTGCGGAAAAGTTTAGGATAATGTATAAAGCAAATAAGGAAATACCGGTGAAACAATTAATTCAGAGATCAATTAGAAATTACAACGAACGATATCACTCAACTATTAAATGTACTCCTAAAGAGGTTCAACAAGGAAAAATGGATGAAAATAAAGTTAGAAAGTATTTAGAGGACAGTAAAAGAAAAATAATAGATAAAATAAATAACTCTAGAGAAGATTATAAGGAAAATAGAAAAGAAGGGTTTATAAAAAATTATAAGGCCGTCCGACATAAGGAACAACCGAAATATAAAAAGACAAAACTGGAGCGAATACATCCGTGCAATATTAAAAGACCTTTGAAATTTGCAGATTTGGACAATACTGATGATACTAATATGGATACCACAGACTAGAGGGATAATTACTACAAAATTTCTGACAGAACAAAGAGGATATATGGACATTTGCATGGGAAATCAGAAAATTGTTAATGAATCGGACATAATTTTACATATAATCAATCTTCACGAAATTGAAACAATTTTAGATGACATAACAGATAACATTATTCTAATGAAAATCGAAAACAAAGAATTACTTGAGTTAGAACTATTAGATGCCAGAAATAAATTAATGACGTTGATACCCAAACAAAATAGAAAAAGACGTGGACTAATTAACGGTATAGGAAGTATGACCAAATGGTTATTTGGGACGATGGACGATGAAGACAGACAGAACATACAAGAACATCTTCTTAATATTAATGAAATTAAGGAAAATAATAATCAACAGATTGTAATTAATGATTATTTCAATATAACTTTAAGTCATTTAAAGATGGTAATTAAGAATGATAGAAAGAAAATAGAACAAGAATTAAACTCTATAAACAAATTTTTAGAGGAAGAAAATAATAAAAGTTTATACTTAGAACAATTGACTAATATACAATTAATTAAGAATAAGATAGAGCATTTGCAAGACAACGTAATTTCTGCAAAATACGGGATTGTACACCCAAGTATTTTAACAAGTAGAGAAATAAGAAAATATGAAATAGATTATAACAAACTTAAATATATTCAGTTTGGAACAACATTTCTTAACAACTCTTATCTTGTGTTTGGAATAAAAATACCTAAACAATTTATAACAGTAAAATTAAGATTTATTGTACCAATACCAGATAATGAAAATAATGAAATAGAATCTAATATGGAAAGATTTTTTGAATTTCAAAATAAAACTTATAAATTTGAAGAGAATAAACATTTAAAAGATTTAAAGTTAAGTCATCATTGTTTAATAAAGAATAATTGTCAATTGATAAAAAATAAAGACTTTGAAATTATACAGTTAGATATAGACACAATTATAATTAAAAATGCAATAAACACGACTGTAAATCAAACTTGTAACTTTGAAAAAATTTTGTTAAATGGAAATTATTTAATTAATTTTAATAATTGTTCAGTTAGGATAAAAGATTATTATTTTTCAAATATTGCAGAAATTACAAAAGAAAGACAAATAATTGAAAATACAAACAAAACTCAAAATTTTAAACATAAGATATCGTTCGAACAAATTGAAAAAGAACATCAATACAATGTAAGAAATATCGGAAAATTAAAATACCACACTAAAATAACATATGTATGTAATATTTCTATAGTAATTGTAATAATTATTTTAATTTTCATAATCATAACAAAACATAAATATATAACTGTAAAATTAAATAAAAGAATTCAGGAGAATTCTAGTCTAAAGGGGGGAGTAGTTACGTATAATCATACTACCCCTGATAAAATTGATAAGTTCTTGGAAACAATTAGCCAATAAAACGTGTACAATTATTGCACTGTAAGCATAAGTGAATTTGACATTCTTTAGTTTGACTTTATTTTATTTTTCCAGTTAAAACTGTCTGGAGCTGAGTATACAATTATTTACAAAAGTGTGTTAATCAAATTTCATTTAAAATAAACTTATGCTAACACTGCAATAATTAATTAACAAATAATACCTGTAGAATAAGTAAATTAAAAATGTAAAAGTTAGTCTTAGTTCCATCCTCTTAGTCGCAAGTCGACGAATAAATAAATAAAAGAAAGAAAAAAAAAAAAAAAAAGAAAAAAAAAAAAACAATTTTTTTTTTTTAATAAACATAATTAATCAGGTTATCTAATTCGCGCGTGTTTCTGTGTGTGTGTGCCTGTGTCTGTCCGTCGGCTTGTCTGACTGGCGAGCCTGCTTGCATTTCGATAATGTTCATGTTCATGCTGTTGTTTTTGTTATTTGTTTTTTTTTTGTTTTTCGTTTTGTCTTTGCAGTGCTCTTCTCGCACACACTGTTTCCCCATTGTAACTGTTTTCAACTTTGCTTTTCAACACAATTTTCTTAAACACACATCTACACATGTAGGTACGTGTGTCCGTTCGTACACTGCTGTATGTACATACACATACGTACGTACGTATCTATGTCTGTCTGTCTGTCTGTATGTAGTATGAGACGGTGTGGTTCTCCTCGCCGTCATCGTCACTGCTGTGCCGTTGTTGTCGCTCGGTGTTCAGTTTTACTTTTTTGTGAAACACGACGTTTTTTCTTCTTCATGTGGCTATGGCAAATAAATGAAAGCCATGAAGTTTCTGTTTTAATTTAAAAATACGTATTTCTATGCACGTATGTAGGTATATATATAAATATATGTGTGTGTATGTGTGCATATGTTTTGCCTTGTCTTAATCCCCCAGTTCGTTGCATAGCTGGAGTTAGACGACTCAAAAAGAGAACAAAACAAAGCAAACGCAAGAGGGTAGGTAGACATTCACGGTAACAGGTTTAGACCGAGGAGAATTCATTAGGTTTCCTCTGGACGAACGTCAAACTGTAGACGAGGCCAACTGACGTTCCAACCCATTCCGTGATTCGCACCTAGGTGGTAATACTTCTACATCTGATGGGTAGATATCTACTAACTATCCATGTTGGGTTCTAAACTTTGACTGCAGCCCCACGAGTTGTGTTCATGAAGCAAACGAATTCGTTCTCCTCCATCTCTTTGTTCCTATCATTCATTTCAGGGTCTGATTGCTGTTCGTCCCGAAGTTACAGCCCGAATCGAACACAAAAACAGAAACCAAGCAAAAACTTAGACATGGTCCGTCGAAATGAAGATAAAGTTGCACGCATGCATCGACTGTGGACGAGCAAAGTGCCTCCTGCTTGCCTGTCTTACCAAAGGCCTGCATCGAGACGAAGCACATTCAGACATACCTACGATGCATACATATGAACATGGGTACGCACACACCCATGCACCGAACACACAAAGGTGTTTCGTAAGTTGCACAACAACAAAAATGCTAATGCCCTCAAAACAAAAACAAAATTCGAAACTTAAAGAAATAAAAGCTAAACTTATATTGTTCGTATACGGCTCGAAAGATATTCATCGATGGTTAGCTAGTGGCTGGTTGGCTCGCCCTGGTGGCCCCTGGTGAATTTGGGTTTGAGTATGGATTTGTTTGGCTGTGTGATGACTGTGTGTGTGTGTGTGTGTGTCCGTGTTAAATGGCCCTGGCGCAATGGCTAGAATGAGTCGAACGGAGCCAAGCCAAGTCGAGTTTATTTACGCCCTTTTGTAATTCTGGATTGGAATTCCGGGAAAAACGCATCGTCATCGCCGACGCCATGGTGCGAGGCGTTCGTTTACTCCGTAGGCTCCCCTCTTGCCGTCGATTGTGTTTGTGTGTGTGTCGGATGCTGGACGGCCGACATGTTTTGTTGTCATTCTTTAGCGCAGTAGGGGAGAAAAGTATTTGCTTGCTGGCAAATGGCGCGTCAGTTCGTTGGAGTAGAATCCCTACGGTAAGTCGGCGACGGCAGCGTACATTGCCTAGTTGCATCCCTGGGTTGGTGCCGATGATGGTGTTCGTCGTAGTTCCTTGGCCGAAATGCATCAAAAGCATAGGCGTGATGCTTCACATCTTGGTCGGGGTGATGGTAAAGTAGTTTGACTGCGGCCGCTGACCTGTGCTTTAGGATGTCTCCGGTTTGGTGGGTTGAAGCACATCATCTCACAAGCCACAGGCCCAGATTTAACTTGACTAATTTGGGCAGCTTCATGATCACGTCGATGCCCTTTGAAGATAGTTGAGTGCAGCCATACAAGTCGATCGTTTTTAGGTTCGTCAATTCCTCCGCTAACGTCTGCAGACCTTTGTCGGTGATTCGCGAACACTGACCAATATTGAGGTTTTCCAAGTCATTCAGGGCTTTGGCAATTTTGAGCATTCCTTGATCCGTTATTTGGCATTGGTTCAGCGACAGGGAGCGCAGTCGGTAGAGACCCTGTGCGATGTGAGTCAGGGCCTGGTCGCTGATCTTGTCGCAGAAGCTTACGTCAAGGGAAGTAATTCCACTGCCTCCCTCGGTGAGATAAGCCATGCCGATGTCGGAAATGTTGTCACAGGAACGTAGATTCAGTTGCTCTAGTTTGGGCATTCGCGCCAGGTGTTTCAAACCACTGTCGGTTATGGAGACGCAGAAACTTAGGTTGATGGACTTTAGTGACGTCAGACCTTGTGCTATATGACCCAGAGCTTCGTCGCTCAATCGCTGGCAGTCCTGAAGACCCAAATACTCCAACTCCAGGTTGCCCTCTGCCGTGGACTTGTTGAGGCCAGCAAGGTGGCCAATGCCTTGGTCACTTATGTGCCAGCAGGAACGTAAATTTAAATGTTTTAGTTTCTTGAGACCCCACGCAATCAGCAGGAGTCCAGTATTGGTGATATTGCAACAGCCACCGAGTTCCAGGGTTTCAAGGTTCTTCAGGTGCTGGGCGATGCGGCCCAAGCTTGTATCTGTAATCTGTTTGCATAGCGAAAGGTCCAAAACCTTCAGATTGGGCAAATCAACGGAGAATGCATGACCCAGATTGACATCGGCGACGTTGAAGCAGCCGCTGAGATTTAACGAAGTTAATGCCGGAACTCCCATGACCAGATCCTTCAGCGATCGCCGCAATGACAAAATCTGTACTTTCTTAATGCCACGCCTAACTAGGCAGTTGAAGAGGCTGGGACTAGATCGCTTCAGATGCAGCTTGGCTTCAACACCTTTCCATATGCTCTTGGAGTAGGCGACATCCCGCCATGTTGTGCACACCTGTGCGGCTCTTCCCAGATCCTTGACCGACAACTTGTCGAAAATCATTTCCAATATTTCGGGGAACAAATTCGTTATTTGCAGGCCCTCGACAGGCGGGGGGCTTTCCGGCGAGGCTGGTCTCTGTTGCATGTGGTGGTGGTGGTGATGGTGCTGCGCATGTGCTGCAGCTGCGGCCGCCGCAGCGGCTGCTGCAGCCGCATGCTGGAGATACAACGCGGGTGGCAATGTTTGCAGCTGGGGGCGATGATGCAGTGCGTACGGGGTGAAGCGTAGCAGATGATGAGCAGTTCGTGTGAGGCCGGGCAACTCTGTCTGATGGTAAAGGTGATCCTCCATACTCCAGGCTGCGGCAGCCAACTGTGTGGCTGTCGGTAGGCCACTCGTGCCCCCACCACCGCCTCCATGGTAATTTGTTAGTGCGGCGGCCGTCTGCAGTGACAATGTAGTCTGATGATGGAAGGGTAGAATTTCCGTATTAGTGGCCATAGTGGAAGCAGTTAAATTCAAAAATCGCGCTCTTTCTCTCTCTCTCTCTAGCAGAGACGGTTGTAGGGTGCTCGTTTCACCCAAGTCTCCAAAGACTTGTCGATTTCGAATTATCTTCTTTTGTCTTTTCACACCCAAATTCGACCGATTCTTGTCTACGGCGACTGTTTCACTTGCTCGTCTTTGTATTCTTATCACTGAGAATTCGATTCGTTTTACACACACAGATAAGTAAAATATTCCTATTCTTCTATTCAGATATTTCTCAATAAACCGATTCACTTTTGTTTTTATTCCTTCTTTTCGTGTTTTGTAAAATTGAATGCTGTGAACAACTTTTGTCGTCGATTGTGCGGCGCGATAGATTACTTTCTTCTTACGTTCAGTGTTATCTGGCCCTACTTCGGATCGATTGAATGCCGAGCGCCGTATATTCGGTAAGCTAAAGCGTTTCGTTCTCTAGTGGATGAACAATTTTCCGATTGCCGTTCAATACCGCACTGTTTCACAACGTAACACAAACTGAACTCTCCCTCAGCCAGCGACTCAGTTTATAGCTGGCAAACACCACTTTGCCATACGCTGGGTTGACTCACGCACACACTCTCAGTGGGGAGACGGAGTGAGTGAGCTAGCCAGCAGGTAGATAAATCTCTTTTGCTGAATAAACGAATTCAGCCATTTCCTAGAATAGGGAATAAGAGAAGTCGGCAGGTACTGCGATGAGAGTGCCCCACCACTACTTCCTCGAAAAATGTGAGGTTGACGGCTGTGTGTGTGTGTATGCGTGTGGGCATTTGTACGGTTGGCGACGTTTTGGGTTAGGTAGAATTCGTTCTGACTTGCAGTGAGGCTTATGTTTAGTTGAGTTTCACCGTATTCTGTTGGATGTGGCGACGGTGACGGTGGTGGTGGTAGTGGGAAAGAGAGCATTAGTATTTAAGAGCATGTACATTGTAGATATGTATGTGTGTGGTCGTACAACTGTCTGTAACATCTTCCCAGCCAGCAAAAAACTACCAAGGATTCTTAAGGAATTTATTTACTAAAGATTCTAGGTTTTAATCTAATCCGATGTCATTCCAAAAAATCCATTTTCAAAGGTACAGTAGCATTCACCAAGTGCCCTATATGACCTCTTTGGAAGTTCCTGGAGGATAATCAGAGTTTTGCTAGCTACTTCATCTGACTTATAGTTGGAAGCGAAGTCAAGGTCTAGGGTCGGCGGGGTGAAACTGAAGTGGGGCCAATAAAATTTGGTCCACCGGCTTATATAGTAGATTCTTTCAAAAATAATAGATTCTTTCAGCTTCTGAAACAGAGCAAAAATGCACCAACAACTTCGATTATAGAACACAAAATATAAACAAGTAAAAAAGCGGCTAAGCTCGGCCGAGCGGAACTTTTAATACCCTCCACCATTTTGAAGGGAGTTGAAAAATGTCCAAAAAATCTGTCGAAAAATACCGCTCAATGGAGAACCGTTATATGGGGGCTATACGAAAACGTGGCTGTAGTTCCCATCATAGGCTGTAGTTTCCGTTATGAACTTTAATTACGAAATTTGAAACAATTCCTCTAAGAATGCCCCTAATTTTATCAAACTGGGGGTGCCGTTATATGAAGATGTGGATCTGCATAAACAATTTTCCGTCATAGGTTGTAGTACCCATTACGAACTTTAAATGTGACATTTAAAACAATTCCGGTAAAAATGTCGCTAAAATCATCCAAATAGCGAATATTAGTTATATGGTACGTTAGTGTTATATGGGAGTTGTACCATATCGATATGTGCACAATTTTAGCTTCCTATCTTAATTTGTTTTGACTCTAGCGTGATTACAGCAGACGGATGGAAAGGGCTAAATCGTCTTGGAATTGTATGCTGATCAAGAATATATATACTTTATTAGGTCTAAAATGATTATTTCGATGAGTTACAAACGGAATGACGAACTCAACATGCCCTCCATACTATGTATGGTGGAGGTATAAGGGTATCCGCAATCCGCCATTATAGCGACTTTTCTCTGAATATGAATTTGTTACAATTCCTAATTGCTACTGAGAATTGTCTCCAAGAAATGGAAAATTAAAACTGCTCCGATGTGGTTCGACTGTTTTTGGAAATTGATATGTAAATAGTAAGTACCCAGAAGCATTCTGTATGTATGGAACTATATGATTTTAAACACCCCATTGATTTCTGAACTTTGGAGCATATCAAGAGCCCAGGAAACCACCCAGACAATATCTGAAAAAATTCCGAAATGGCCCGGCACCCTGGTTACGTCGGTGCAGGAAACACAACTATCGGTTCGTAGTATTATAATCTGATATCCTACTTCCATGTTGGTGTTTAAACATCCATATTTGCGGTAGTACGGGATATACGTGGATAAGTGTATGCATGTGTGTACATGCTTTCTTTCTTATTTATCTTGTGAACAGGGTTGTTCTGTTAAATGGTGCTGTGATCCAAGCCTCTGATCTTTTTGATTTTTTTTTCCTTTTATTTTTCATAACTTAAATTCAGCATTGATTCCAAGAAATACTTAACAATGTTGGGAGTTATACACACATACATACAAGCACGCACGCATCCGCATCAAAGATCCCTTCCATACACAAATACAAACCGAGCCATACAAACAATACCTCAAGGCAATTCCTACATCAACAACAACAAATATACCCTGGCACCAGTAGAGGCCAGAGTTGGGAATATTGACTATTGAACACACATTTTCCTCCATTTGCGGAACACTAAAAAGTAAGTCAGGGGCTAAGTTCTTGTTATTTGATAATCTGAAAAGAAAACATTTATAGAGAGAAAGCATCAAATGATATCTGTCCTCTTGGAACGAGTACCCAGTCCCAAAGCATGACTTTGGAAACGTTGGTACTAAAAAGTGTTGCTATATGTACATTTGCGCCCGATGTTCCTTCAGTGTCTTATGTCTACAGGGCCAACCCATAAATTACACCCAGGAGGTGAATAATTTCCTCAACCTTCTCTCGCAGTCAATGTACCTTCTTTTCTAAACGTTAATATGTATGTTATAATAACAATGTGTATTGACAGCAAAAGAAGACTTATCCCGTCACCCTGCACCCTGATATTTATTTCATAAATGTAAATAAAAAATTAGTTGGATTTTATTTAAAACTGGGAAATCATGAGAACATTTGGTAAATGGCTGGTAGAAACAAAGCAAACAATGTTGAAGAAGTCATAAAACCGAACTCCCGACCAATATCTTTAACTTACCAACCTTGAGCCCTATAGCCACCACCTCAAATAAAAATGCATTTTCCTTAACAGTTAGTTTCATTATAAAATTTAGTTTTTTCCCTACTTCTTCTGTTGAATTTCGTGACAACTTATGCCTTTTGCTACAAAAAATCGACAATTCAAATAAAAACTTGAACATGTTCAAGACCACACTAGATTTCTAAAATTAACTACCCATTAACAACCAAAATATGGCATTCTCCATGCCTAAGTGAGTTGGGTTCTTGTCTCATTCCGGAATTGGGAAACCGTAAGAAAACATGTCAAATACGCGTCAAGTTCGGCAGTGTCAAATATGAGAGGATCGAAAATCTTTAAGATTACGGTGCCTATATGCAGTATTAGTCGAGTTGCAATTTAGTGGACAAATGTGACCAAACCCAGCAAAAGGGCTTGAAGATTTGGGGAACCGTTATATTAAAACGTGGACCAATATATGCACTATACCATATCATATTCGAAGTCGTTCGGAAGTTACTATTATGGCAAAACATAAATTTTAAGCTGATAAAGAAAATACACAACTTGTGGGGACTAGAACTATTACATAATAGCTACAAGTATAATATCGAAGTTGTTATGCCCCCAACGATGGTGGATGTCATTAAAATTGTGATTTTCCATCTCTGGCCCGCATATGGTATTCGTAAAACAGAAGAAACAAAACGAAAGACGAAGGAGACAACATTCAAGTCTTGTTCTTCAATGGTGTGCATATTGTATGTACATACATAGGAATAATACATACAGCTACATATGTAAATATGTGATGATATTTGAGCAAACCTTTTTCCCAATACAAGGAAACGGTGTGGAACCCAGATGTGTGTTGGTGTGTGTGTGCGCGCCATTACATATGGACGTCGTATGTGGTGCAAGGATTCATTCCTCTAGCCGACAAAATCACAGCACAAATTCTCGGGCGTATTGTTAGATTTGTTTGTTGCCGAGGGTAGGCATTCGGCCTTTCTACCTGTTTGTCCAACTATGCGCCTTCACAAAGATGTGTACACATGCAACATTCCGTTTTCCTGGGAGGATTTATTTTCCGATAGTCCATAAAACTACCCTTAAGGCGCAGACAATGGCTTTATTGTTTTCGCTCCAAATACTTATGGCCTTTGTCTGTCCTTTAAAAGCCCCAGAGTCGATGATCCCTTGGGATTTCTTTTACCGGATTGTAATGCTCTACCTGCGGACAGGCAGGTTTTTTCTTTTTAATATGAAAAATAGATTGCTTCTTTCCTCGTTCGAGGGTGAGATGACTGGCTTAGAAGATCTTTATCGATTCTATGGAAGATCATAATCTATGCCTTTGTTGCAATAACTACCGCCAGAGGTAAGATACTGTGATCACCCTAACCGTAATCGATGCGCGTGCACACGGCTTTGTTTGGCTGTGGTGGTGTTGGTTGGTTGAGATACCACACGGGCAAGTGATCTGTTAAGTTGCATCCAATAATGGTAGTGACACATCGTAAATGCACTTGATCGTGAGAAATATATGGGTCAATCTAGTTCCACGGGTCATCCGAATTCTGCAGAAAATTTAACGTTATTTGTGGAAGCATTTTTTCTGGTAGATCGAAAATGATGCAATTCATGACTGTTTGACGAACATGCAAGAAGGTTCACACTCTCCCCTCTCGCTCCCTAGGTCCCATAAAAATGAGACGGGATTGATGGGAACCGACACGTAACGTCCTACATTTTTTTTGTGGCAAATAATACAACTTTTTATTTAACCTTCAATCAAACGCAAATCTACAACTCAGTACCTACATATTTACATATGCTTGCACAGACATACACACATTCGTCCATATTTATTCGAAATATACATAAACACTTATCACTTCAACAAAATATTCGATATTCTGTGCACGGGCAACTCCACGAGGGTGAAGAGCAGCATTCCGGACATTATTGCCAAAACGATAACGGCTAGGAAATCTGCTCCGGACCCAATTTCGGTAAAGTTCGTAGGTTCATTGCGCATAGCGAACATAAAAACCACAATTATGGGGGCCAACATGTAAATGCTGAAGCAGAATTTACTCAGGAAGAGTAAAGGCCGGGCACTGAGCAGTCTATTTAGGATTCCTCCGTGACCACGAGAGCACTGAATGATGACGCCGCCAATGCAAAGGGCAAAAATCAATTTGCCCACCGACATAATGGATGCCACCGCCCACGATGGCGTTGAACGCCAATAGCTCATGAAGTTAGTGGCGATGTAGATAAGGAAGGCTAGGAACCAAAACGACTGCGTTGCAAGCCTCCTCAACAGATTCGAATTGCGTCTTTGCAGTGTCACCTCCTGTTCACTGCTTGGCGTCTTTTGCTGATGCAAGCCATGCATAAACCAGCCCGTAATTGCTCCACCAACATATGGAGGTATTCGCACCCAGGGTTTGACATACAATTGATTGAGAGTGCTGTAAATGACGTCGATCCTGCAACGGAAGAGGACAATTAAAGTGTTTGCTGAAGCTAGCAAATTACTCCAACCCACCCCCCCCTCTCCAGCACTATACTTACTCGAAGGATATGCCATTCGTGTAATTGCTGGACCATCCGATGGCCACGACTGCCAGAGCGAAAGCTGCGAATGTGGCCTGGGCAACCTTGCGATGTTTAGCATAGACGTAGAGAAAGGCGGTGAACAAAACGAAATACTGCATCTCACATGCCAAGTACCAGGTCCATGAGCAGCAAATACGATCCATATCGATTAGGTTGTGAATGTACAAAAGGTTGTACCACCAGGTTCTGCGAAAAAAAGAAAGAAAGGTTCAGAGAAAACTGTTAGATTTCATCACCAACCAGCATGTATTTACTCCTGCCTGGAGCAAAATGCTAAAGTCTAAAAATGTTCCACACTCTCTTACAAATTTGTCCTTTGAAAGTGGTGCGACAAAGTAACGGCATTTACTTGGTTCCCATATTTGAGGTACTAAAATCAACAGAACTTCGATAACAGTCCGAGGCAATTGGCAATGAAATGGGTGAACCACTGAAAAATTCGAAACTTACGTCTTGCAATAGAGGCCACTGTGTTCGCCCAATCGAAAGGGTGAGTACATGTTAACAACGTCGAAGATCATGGTGCTCAGAAGCATTGTAATAATCATCACAGGAGTCAATCTGAAACGGGACGTGCTCATTATCAGTTTTAAATCATAACCACAGATTGCCTAAGGATTCTTCTCGTACCTCATGTATCGCTGCAACAGTGAACTCAGGAACATTTTCACATTTTCCCACCAAGTGTTGGCAGCAATCCTCTGCATTTGCCGGCCATTCGATAGGAAGTTGAAAACCAACAGAAATGAGCTACACAACGGAGGAGACGTCAGATTCACCAGTCGTTTTCAAGTATCCGATGGGACATCTACATACATACCTCATTATGAAGAATACGTCGACATAGAAGCAGGCCTGCATTATGGGCTGCAATGCAAACATCTCCAGCCTGGCAAAGATGTACGGCGTATTGGACATGGCGAAGAGGGAGTAGTAGTAGACGTGAAACACCGTGATCCACATGCAGACGACACTCCGCAGCCCTGCCATCGATGTCAGAAATACCGAATTACGATTAGAGTTGTCCAAACTCGTAACGGCAGCAAAGTTCTCCGAAATGAGAAAGCACATCAACATCTGTTCCCACTGGGAGCTTTCTGCTTGTCTTTTGTTGGGTTCAGTTTGGCGTTGTTGTCTTTGCTGTTGATAACTGCGCACGCCACCACCGAGCTTTGCGTTCTTTCGGCACAACGAATGTTGAAGCTGCAGTCTGTGTTTCGATTTGTAAACGATTTCCGCCAGGATTGGCAATGAGATGGAGGCGATTAATATAATTCTGTGCAATGAGAGTGTTGAAGATAATGAGTTAACATTGAACATTTGTCATCATCTCATTGTCAAAATATATATTCATTAATCCATTGCATATACAAAAAATTAAAAAGCTGGATATTAATGATTGAAGTGAGGTTACCTCGATTTAATTGAAAAAGTCATCTTTAATAACAAAAAAATATAATATTTGGTATGTTCCAGAACCTGCAAGAATCTACTAGTTTTGCAATTTTCTCCGATATCACAAAGGGAAAATCGGTTATCGTAGTAAAAATTTTTACATTCTTGCAGTTCTGGAACAGACCAATTATTGTTATAGAAAATACAATTTCATTATGGCCTCTCAAATGTTCTTAAATATATGGAAATTTAAAGAATATTCTCAAAATTTATCTAAATGGAAAAATATGACAATTGAGATCCGTTCTACCTTTTAAAGATACGATTAGAATAAGGTGAGGTATTATTCGATCAGATGACGGAAATCATGCTACCAATTTTGGCGATTCCAAATTGGTAGAGTGTTGCAGAAACAGTAAAAAATACTATCCGACCAAAAGCTACAATTATATGGGTTGCACTATCCAATTATTAAAAAATTTAGATTTTTTCCATTTAAATAATAACAAGTAAAAAAGCAGAAAGTTCGGCCGGACCGAACTTTAAATACCCTCCACCATTTGGAATTGTCAAGTTAAAAGTAGTAGTAGATACCTTTTGTTGCATACATGTGAAAATATACGATTACATGCAACCCGGATACAACCCTGAATTTTTAAAATGTAACGAAGTTGAAGATACGAAGCCAACCTGACAAGGCGTACTAGTTTAAGCTCGTATAATTGATTTTAATAAACGTTTGTGAATTCTTAATTTAATATAAAAACGGTCGTTGTATTTCATTTGAGTATACGGAAACCAACAGACTTCAATCGATCACTTGACATTTTTCTCAGAAGTGGGATACGACAAGTCTTATTGGAAGAAGCGTCTACCAACAAGAAATATGGAGAATTTGCACAAATGCACGGTTAAGCAGTTGCAAGCGAAATGCAGAGAAATTGGTGTTTCTCAAAGTGGTAACAAAAAGCAATTGATCGAACGACTTGAAGTCAACAACGAAAGCGAGCTGCACGGATTCGCATCTCCTCATGATATGCAGGAGCGAATTTCGCATTTGGAAGATATGGTAACTGAATTGCGTTCATCTATGGAGCAACGTGGACAATCAGAATTTGAGCCGAACAACGCATCATCCCCTTTGAACACGTTTTCGACACCGGATGGTAATATGTCCCTGCAAGGCACACGGCCTAGCTTGCCAAACGTGGCAAACGTTGTGACAATATTACCGGAATCACGTTCGATTCCATCGTATGTTCAAACGAATACTTCTTTTGGTGCATTTCAGACTACGTCAACAATTCCAACGGTCCACACGTGTGCTTCTGCTGGTTTACCAACGTTTACACCTTCATTGCACGGACATGCTCAACTTCCACGAAATACAACGCAAAATGTAGCGACGTCATGCTACAACGTACCAACACATATAACGACACATTCGAATTTTACAACAGCAACACCGACAGGAGTGTTCACGCAGCCGAACAATGGATATGTTCAATCAACGCAGCCCTACAACGCATATCTACAACCGCCGATATTTGCAACAAGTGTCTATTCAGCGCCGCCGCAGTCAGAAATAGTTATGCAGCCTTCACAACGTTATGTTCAGCACAACCCCTTTGGGAACGTTAAGGAAATAATTCAACTTTTGCCAGAGTTTAATCCGTCATCTGAAGAATCGATTAATCCTTCACAATTCGTGCGACGTGTGGAATTATTGAAGACAGCTTATAACTGGGACGACGCATCAGTTATATTTGCAGTGCAACAGAAAATGGCTGGCCCAGCCAAGTATTGGGTTGACTCACTGCAAGAGGTATTTCTGTCTTGGCCTCAGTTTGTTAACAAATTTCTTTTAGATTTCCCTCAAAATGTAAATGCAGCCGATGTACACATTAGAATGGCACAGACAAAACGGCAGTTCGACGAAACGCCGCAGGAATATTATTACAGAATGTATGCTATTGGAAAACGGGGCAATATAAATGAATCATCCATAGCACGGCATATAGTCAACGGAATTAATGATCAAGGATTGAAGCAGAAAATATCTAACGAGTATATTACCTGTAATCAACTTTTGAGTGACATCAACGCATACTGTAGTTATAACGAGGTAAGAAGAGTGCTGAACCCGATATCGAATAAGACGAAACGTAGCAATGAAAATAGAACTGCCCCAGAAAGGAAAAGCGATGAAAGAGTGAATAAATTCAAATGTTTTAATTGTGGTAATACTGGTCACAAAGCCGTAGACTGCCCAGATCCACAGAAGAAGAATAGATGTACGATATGCAAACGGACTTCACACGGTGCAAGTGAATGTCCAACAAAAACCCTGAACACAAATGTCAACAATATAAGGGACAGCGTAAAGTCCAACGAAATACTATGTAAACGTGTCAAAGTAAAGGACAAGGAGTTTGAGGCATTTATTGATTCGGGAAGCGATCGGAGTCTGATCAGACGAAGTTTTGCAATGATAATTGGCGAAACGGAAAATTGCAGTATGGTTTTAAATGGCTTTGCTGGTGGCAAATACGAGTGCACAAAGGTGGTTAAAGTGCCAATTGACATTGATGAGACGAGTTACGACGTGAACCTTTATGTTGTGGAAAATTCTATGATCCCGAATGATGTTCTTTTAGGTCGAGATGTTTTATGCCAAAAAGGTCGACGCACCATTATTGAAGGAGATGAGTGTTGGATGCAAAACGTAAATGCGATTAGTATCAACGAAGGCTTAACATCTGAAGAGCATAAGAAGTTGCAGTTGAACATTCAAGAAAACCGACAATGTTTTTCAGAAAAGTCAAGCGAATTGGGTAAGTGTAACTTAGTGAAGATGGAAATCGAAGTTACTACTCCAGAACCAATACGATGCAAGCCATATCGACTAGCATTTGCCAAACGTCCTATTGTGGCAAATATTGTGAAAGACTTACTGGATAACGAAATCATAAGGAAATCGAATTCTCCGTATGCATCGGGAATTGTTTTGGTCGAGAAGAGAAATGGTGAACACCGTTTATGTATAGATTATAGACAGTTGAATCGAATAACCGTACGTATAGCGCATCCTATGCCTGTACTGGATGAACAGATTGCACAACTCGCCGGAAATCGTTATTTCACCACACTCGACTTACGTATGGGTTACCACCAAATTGAAGTAGAGGAAGAATCGAAAAAGTTCACAGCTTTCGTGACTTCAGATGGTCATTATGAATTCAACCGGATGCCATTTGGTTTGGTAAACGCACCTGCAGTTTTTCAGGCAACGATGAACCGAGTTATAAGCTTTATGAAACCAGGAGAAGTTTTAGCGTATCTGGATGACGTCATAATTCCCAGTAAAACAGTCGATGAAGGTCTGGACCGAATAAAAAGATTTTTGGATATCCTTAAGAAATGTGGTCTCACGTTACGATTGGCGAAATGTTCGTTCCTAGCCGAAAAGATTTCTTATTTGGGACACATAGTTACACGTGACGGAATTTTACCTGGAGAAGAAAAAGTAAAAGCGATTAGAAATTTTAAGGTACCAACGAATGTAACAGAAGTACGACGATTCCTTGGCCTAACTAACTTCTTCCGAAAATTTGTAAAGGATTATGCAGCCATTACGAAACCTCTTGCGATGTTGACACGAAAGAGCGAAGAGAATAAATTTCGTTGGGACGTACACCATGAAAACGCATTCAGAAGTTTAATCCAAATTTTGTGTAGTGAACCAGTTTTAGCAATCTACGATATGAAAGCAGATCACGAGGTGCACACGGACGCTAGCAGTCTCGGATTAGCAGGAGTGTTATTACAGTCCGATGGTAATGGTAATTGGCAACCAGTGTTTTATTTTAGCCGCCACTGTTCTGAAACGGAATCGAAATATCACAGTTACGAGCTGGAAGTTTTAGCTGTGGTTGAAACGGTGCAGCGTTTCCGTATATATTTACTTGGAAAGCCATTCCGAATCGTCACTGATTGTGCCGCAATTACTAATGTGAAGACAACGAAGGAATTACAACCTCGAGTAGCACGATGGCTGATGAAATTACTTGAATTTGATTGTGAGTATGTACACCGACAAGGGTCACGTATGGCTCACGTTGATGCTCTCAGCCGTTCACCGGATCAGCCACAGACGGAGATTGAACCAGCAGGGTTCATAATGAATATTGATAGCGATGATTGGATTCTCACGATGCAGCTAAACGACGACCACATAAAGAATATTATGGGAGTACTGCGAAATGAATTGAAATCTGAGCAAGAGAAACAGATAAAATCTGAATACTTATTGGAAAAACATCGACTATACCGGAAAACGAAAAATGGACTACGATTGGTCATACCGAAGGCTATACGATGGCGCATAGCTAAATACTGTCATGATGATATTGGCCATTACGGGTTGGAGAAAAGCCTCTCACGAGTCGAACAAACGTTTTGGTTCCCCCGCATGAGGAAATATATGAAGGAGTACATTGCAGCGTGTGTAGAGTGTTGCTACAACAAGGCAAAAGGTGGTAAACACGAAGGAGCTCTACATTTTAGTAATGTCGAACCGCTACCATTTAGGCAAGTACATATTGATCACTTGGGACCGTTTATAAGAAGCAAGCATGGTCATACACATATAGTGGCAATCGCCGATTCCTTTACGAAATTTGTGGTTATTAAAGCTGTAAGGAATACGAAGACATTGCCCGTCATCAACGTTTTAAATGAGGTTAGTGGATACTTTGGTTTACCTCGAAGAATAATTTCGGACCGTGGGACAGCTTTTACGTCAAAAATGTTTGAGGAATATTGCGATCGAAACAATATTCAACACATTAAGAATGCCGTTCGTACACCAAGAGCCAATGGACAAGTTGAGAGGGTCAATCAACTTATCCTGTCTTATTTACGAACTACCACTGAAGAACCGAAGGATTGGGACTCGGCACTTCACGTTTTACAATGGTCAATCAATTCAACCAAAAATTCGACAACAGGTTACAGTCCGAATGAGTTGATTTTCGATTACAAGCCCACCGACTTAATACAAAACCGATTGTTAGCAGCTGTACAAGATGATGTACAAAACGAAGAAATTTCCATCAACGAAAAACGTATCATGGCCGCAGAAAACATCAAAAGCGAACGAGAACGATGGAAGAAAAGATTTGACAGCAAGCATTCGAATCCGAAATTGTATGTGGAAGGTGACTTGATCCTTATACAGAATGAACCACCAGCGACAGGTGAATCCCGGAAGTTAGAACCTAAATACAAAGGTCCATACATAATAGCACGAGTATTGGGCAACGACAGGTACCTGATAGAGGACATTCCTGGAATAAACATCACGAATAGGAAATTCTGTTCCGTATTCAGTTCCGACAAGTTGAAGAAATGGTGTGAATGTTCCCCCGAATTGGATGTTTCAAGCGAAGATGAAGCCGAGGACGACTTCAGGTCAGGAAAGGCCGAGTTGTCAAGTTAAAAGTAGTAGTAGATACCTTTTGTTGCATACATGTGAAAATATACGATTACATGCAACCCGGATACAACCCTGAATTTTTAAAATGTAACGAAGTTGAAGATACGAAGCCAACCTGACAAGGCGTACTAGTTTAAGCTCGTATAATTGATTTTAATAAACGTTTGTGAATTCTTAATTTAATATAAAAACGGTCGTTGTATTTCATTTGAGTATACGGAAACCAACAGACTTCAATCGATCACTTGACAGAATGAATGAAAATTTTCAAATAAATAAAATCCATTGAAAATTATTTAAAATCTTTAAAACACCTAATATCGGAAGGGCCGTTATATGGGGGCTATACGATATCGTTAACCTATATAGAGAACTCTATGTCTGGGGGTAAAGTGCTCACAAAGAACCCCTTATGTAGAATTTCAGACAATTGCATTGAAAAATGTGGCTGAAATCATCAAAATACCGAATATCGGAGGGTACCGTTATATGGGGGTTATTCGATATCGTGGACTTATATAGTCAACTCTCTTTCAGTTAGTAAAGTACTCACAAAGAACTCCTAGTGTGGATCATCAGATAATTCCGTTGAAAAATGTGGCTTAAATCATCAAAATACCGAATATCGCGGGGTACCATTATGTGGGGGATATACGATATCGTCGACCTATATAGATAATTCTCCTCCGAGGTATAAAGTACCCACAAGGAACTCCTTGAGTGGATTTTCAGACGATTCCGTTGAAAAATGTGGGTAAAATCATCAAAATACCGAATATCGGGTGGTACCGTTATATGGGGGCTATACGATATCATGGACCGATATGGCCCATCTTCGAACTTGACCTGCTTGCAGACAAAAGAGAGATCTGTGCAAAATTTTAGCTTCCTATCTTAATTCGTTTATGCTGTAGCGTGATTACAACAGACGGACAGACTGACGGACAGGGCTAAATCGTCTAGAATTTTACGCTGATCAAGAATATATATACTTTGTTGAGGGTATAAAAAGGAGTACGTCAACATTGTAGCAAACAATGTAGAAATCGGGTCCTCAAAATTGTGGGATTTGAGGCTCCACCCGATTTTAGATGGTTTTAAGGCCGACGTCATCATAGTAAAAAAAATCTGGAACAGAGCGATTGTAGTACAAAATGTTCAAAACAGGTCAACATATTACGATACCCGGGGATAAAGAACTTTTTGTTAAGGGAGTGATTTAACACATATATATCCCCCAACTGAGCTCAACGAATTCGAATTACCGGTTCTTTTTTAAGCTTTAGGCTGTCTGATTCTCTCGAACAGTAAATAAGCACTATTTAAAAAAACACAGGGGCAAACAATATTGGAATTAGGTTTGGGCGCCATTTCTTGTTTCATGGAAGTGAATCTAAAAATAAGTTTATCATTAAGTTTTCAACAGTCTGAATAGACAATATACCCACTCGCAGCTATGATTCATTTACGACACGTCTTGGGTAGATTTGGAAATACATATTTCGTATCTCTAATAAACTTAAAATGTCCACTTACACAAATATAATACTTGCGGTTTGTTTGAAGAATTTCATCGTTGAAAAATGCGGAATTTTCACATCGACGACCCTCATCTCAAGATCGAATTTTTCCTGTGTTTCAAAAACGTTGCTTTCAAAATACAGATTGGCATAGTTGTGTATTCTGGATGAACTGCACGACTTTGGCAGGCAGAGGCCCACATGAATCAGAGTCTGGGTGTGGTGAAAAGGAAAATTATTATCTCGAATCGAATCATGGACATACTCACCTCGAAGGGCAGTCTCAAGTCGATGGTATAGGGTGACGTAAAATTAGTGTACACCACAACGAAATGCATTTCAAATGGGCTGCTCACGTTGAACATGATTGGTTGGGAATGAGCCAAACTTATGCGGAACGGCTGGTTAAGATCGTCGCACAAATCAGGTGTGCCGAACCAATAATAATTGCCCCACGTAAATGACTTGGGAGGTGCTCCGAAATAATCCAAAACTGCAAAGATAGATGGCAAGATACTCAATATTAGGAATTGTCAAATGGAACTGGCGAGTTTTTCTGAACTATTCTTGTACAGCGAACTGTTTTAAATAGCTCCTGAGGGAATAACCCAAACAAAAGGGAACCATTGAAAATCTGCTTTCACATATGAAACAAAATTTGTTTTTGCCTTATTCCATTGTTATTTTCCCTCAGTCACACCTTCTCAGCCGGAATAAAGATGTCATCCAGAATGACACAGAAGTATTGCATGTTATTGTTAGATGTTGATTTGATTATTTAAGCCATTTGTTGATGTGCTGTCTGTCCATTGTGTGGAAACTCGTACTCAACTCAAACATATTTTAATTCCAAAAATAGTTTTTATTTCACAAACAAGCACACACACACACACACCGAAACACACCTTTTAAAGCCCAAAGTCTGTGATCGCTTACAGCTTGGAGCAACATTTCAAGTTCTTGGCCACATCGAGTGTGGTTTGTTTCGTGCAATGCACCTAAACTTGCAATTCCAACAAGGAAATTTTGCTTTGCCAATGCCAGTCGCTGCTGGTTGGAATTTGCCACACGCTCCGATGCAACCGTTGAGCCATTACGACAACCGACTTGTACATACAAGGTGGCCAATATAATGCTCCACAAGCGCATGATTCGAACAAGTGCTAAAGAAGCTCGCTGTTTACAAGTCCAAGCGCGAAAATCAACTGAATCTTGGGATCAGGCCGCCTCACTCTCTGTGGCATGGAAAGTGGAAAATGAAAAGTCGCGCCACACAATTTTCCCAATAAAACCTCTGTTGAAGCGAAGATAGAAAGGGTTGTGGGTAGCGATAACCGCCGATGTGAACGGAAAACGAGCAAAAATATCCGCGGCAAGCTCAATGGCAGCGCGTCATATTTTCGTTCCCAATCTTGGTTTCAGCTCCAATTTATATAACACGCGCCGATATTCAATGTCCGCGGCTCCGCTAAGCAATGCGACAAAGAGAGCGTATCTTAGAGTGGGTAGAATCTAATCGCGATTTTCATGCAAGAGCGTTTCAATTGCAACTTTGCAACGAACAAACACTACACACGAGCTATTTCAAAGTAGGATACAAAGACGACGGAATGTTGGTTCTGCCTTGTTATTCCGGCCGGGCCAAACTTTTAATACCCTCTACCATTTAGTACAAATTTGACAATTTCCAAAAAAAAAATAATAAAATCCGTTAAAAATTCTGTTAAAATCTTAAAAATACCGAATGCCTATACGACGACGTGGACCTGCATACGCAACTTTTGTCATAAGTTATTACAATATTTAAATGCGAAACTTGAAGAAAAATCTGTTTATAATGTACCTAAAATCATCAAAACACCGAATATAGGGGGTACCGTTATATAGGGGCTATACGAAAACGTGGACCTGCACAGACAATTTTCTGGCATGGGCTGAAGTATCCATTACGAACTTCACATGCGAAATTTGAAACAATCCCGGTAAATAATGTCGCTAAAATCATCAAAATACCGAATATCGGGGGGTACCGTTATATGGGGGCTATACGAAGACGTGGACCTGCACAGATAATTTTCTGTCTTAGGCTGTAGTATCCATTACGAACTTCAAATGCCAAATTTGAAACAATTCCGGTGAATAATGTCGCTAAAATCATCAAAATACCGAATATCGGGAGGTACCGTTATATGGGGGCTATATGATAACTTGGACCTACATGGCCCATTTACGAACTTAACCTGCCTATTGGCAAAATATACATGTGTGCAAAATTTTAGCCTTCTATCTCAATTTGTTCGAATGATAGCGTGATTACAACAGACAGACAGACACACAGAGAGGCAGGCGGACATGGCTAAATCGTTTTAGAATTTTACGCTGATCTCGAATATATATACTTTGTTGGGTCTGACAGGAGTAATTCGAGGAGTTACAAACGGAATGATAAAATTAATATACCCTCCATAGTATGGTGGAGGGTATTAAAATCTATATATATATATATATATATATATATATATATATATATATATATATATATATATATATATATATATATATATATATATATATATATATAAAGGATTCCTTTATTATTTTCCTTTTCCAACAGAGGGCCCCACATAATTTTTGAGAAAATGTATTAATTTCTCTAGAATTCCAATTGTTTTTTGTTACTTTGTCAATGTCATCACGTGTTACACATGAAGGTATGCCTAGCAATTGAAGCATATCAACTCAAAACCCTATACAGGGCATTAGCGATATCTTCTCAACAAGCCCACCCGAATCAAATTTCGATTTCATATTAACTGCCACATTATTAGAGAAAAAACTCTAGCCTAATATTTTTTTCTCTCCCCAACTAAATGTCGCAGTGGGAGATTCCATATTCTGGCCACTCTATGAAAGATCATCATTTCCCATCGAAGTGACAAGTGGCTGTCTGCTCGCTTTTGTTTGCTCTTTAAGACAAACTTCTTGGTGATGCAGTGATCAGTGCTCGCTAAAGTCAAATATGGAATTGATCCAAACTTGATTTCAGTTTTAACCAGGCGTATTTAAATTGGGTGTGTTGTTCAGCTCTTAAATAATTAAATAAGCGTTACTACAAAATGTCAAGATATAATTACATAAATGTGTGTGTATGTTGCAACTACACCAACAGAAATACGCAGTTCTAAATGCGAATCGAAGAAGTTTGTTTAAAATCACGGCTCAGTCTCATGATCACAGGGTTGTCGCTGTCGTGGTTTAATCTATTACAAAGTTGATCTAGATTTTTAGCGGATTTTTTTGCAGCGAACAGTAGCCATCGGCTCTTTGTCATACTTAATCTTTGCCATTCGTAACAGTGATTTGGCGTATTAATGCATCCACAAGTCGTGCGAAGAGGTCACACACATATTTATATGAACCTGATCGATCAGATTTTTTGTACAGAGACTTGTTGTAGATAAGAAGAAATGTAACCAGAATACATTTCATGATAGGTCTTTGTTTTGACATAACCTCCAAATATGACCCGATGTAAAGTATTTTGTTGGTATTAGCTATACTCTTCAATAGATTGGAGTTTTCAGTTCCAATGGGGTAACAGAGTGTATTTTAATGGGTCCCGACATATTTTCACTAGTTTTTTTCTAAAGTTTGTTATTTGGTGTTGTCTGCGGAATAAACCCTTCTTACAAAATCGCGTGGCAATAGGTCCCCATTTGCTTGCATGACTCACAACTGTCTTCTATATTGAGACCCTTAAATATATTTCCTTTGAATTTTTGAAGATAGGTTTATTGAACCTTTTGTATTCAGTCAAATTCGGCCCGGGCGGACTTCTGAAAAAAAAAAACTCGTTAGAAAATGTATCCATATTTGCAGATACATAATTTTGGATCGCTATTTTTTTTTTGTAATGATATTTGAAAGGTTTTTTTCTTGAAAATTCGGCTAACATGATAAAATACCTGAATAAAAGATGATAACAGAAACGTGTCACTGTAAAGGTAATTAGCTATCATAAGGGGTGATACCTATGGGAAACTCCAAATACCAACTTTGAAAACATTCCGTAAAAATGAGGCTGTATAGGGAGGTGTCATTATTTGGGCCCTATACAAAAACGTAAACCAGTGCATGCAATTTTTTGTCATAGTACCAACTCATTACTACCCCCTAATTCCAAAGTTGAAACAATTCCTCTGAAAACATCGAATATCAAAGGGGGAAGTTACATGAGGTCCTTGCGAACACCAGGACCTGCATAGAAAGTTTATTGTAAGGGAGACACTAAACAACGAATATGTAGATATGGGGTCTGTATCACAACTTGCTTCTATATGGACTCAATCCAGCCAAAAGAGTTGTTGTATAATTAAATTAATTTGGAATATTGGATTATTTCACAACCTCACTGTGCGGCCGGCTCTATTTACGTTAATTATTGTAGACGCCATTTACTTTAGAGTTTTCCCAATAAACCGCTGAAGTAGATTTAGAGCATACAAACCGACAGATGAAACGCATGATTCTTTGTGCAATTTGTATTACCTTTTCGTTGGATTCTGAAAATTCTTATTCAAACCCTGTCTGAGATTTTTCTTTCTCATATCTCAAGCTATCGGATCACCATAGGCAGAACTCTGAACCATATTGGGATACCATCAAGCAAAATTGGTCATATATATATTCATATATTTATCTGATCTGTTGCACAAAATTCCTGTCAATCACCTTTATGTGCCTCCCGAAGCATTAGTCTGTTTGTTACGCTTCACCAGCTTATTGTAAATTTCGCAAATATTGTTCTTCGTTTCCATTTAAAACCAGTTTTAACATCTTGCTTTCCATTGTACCTAGGCACAATGCCTCATATTCCCAATATTATTCTTTATACCCCAGGGTGGAATAAAAGTTGTTAACAATCGATAGAATCGATAGAATCGAACCATCCGCGCATAATCGGAGATGATAATGGAGCCATACTGGATTCTTGTAATAGAAGGCCAAAATTAACATTTCCCAGAGAAAAATGGAAGTAGTGCCGTACCTGTTAACATTTTTTGAGGACTTAAGTATAACGTCATATTTCTATATGTGTAAAAAAGTACTGCAAATTTCCGTAGTCGGCATCGCTAATCACAACAAAACAATAACAAGAAGGGGGTGCAGTGCGCAAATCGCAACAATCGAGTCATCAACATCGTATCAATGAACTCGTTTCGGCAAAGCCTTGATGGTCTGATGATTACGATACGCAATACAGCACTCTTCCGGTTTGACGACGGACAAACAGAAAGATGGGCGAAACTGATCCGCCCTTTAGATACCACATCTCGTACTATCAACCATGTACTACTTACGTGTATATGTGTGTGTGTCCACAAATACGGTTGAGGATGTAACGCCAAGCCAGAAATAGTTATGAGGGCACGTACTTACCATGTGATCTTGTGGTCGAAATCTGTCCTTGAGCCAAGGCCAGGAAATGCCTCACCAGTCATTTGCGAATGCCCAAATTGCTTCCTGAGTAAAAAAGTTGCACGCAGAGGCGGGCATCGGCGTGTTTTTTTATTGTATTAACGTTTATTTAAATTAGCGAGCGAATGCATCCACATACCTACGTACCTGCGGGTATGTGACGCGAATTCTAGTCCCTGATCAAGATTTGTATAACGGTTATGTACAGGTTTGGGCTACATACATACATCCATGTCGGGTACACTTATTAGATAATTAGTTTTCATTATTAATTATTGAATTAAATTAAGGTCCTGCAGTGGGACCGCCTAGACTACTAATGACTTAGCTGAATAACATAATTGGAGTCGTGTATAACGGAATGAGTGGGGGGGTGGAGGGAAGGGTTTGTATGAAAGATCACAATGCGTTGCAATGATTTGTAAAGGCCATCTGTTCGGACACACTGGATCCGATTAGGAGCTTTTCACTTTCGAGCAGCTGCGGACGGTGGGTGTGCTGCCGCCCTTGAGAAGTTGGCTAGACCAATTGCAGAAGGGAACCTCAAAGGTCACCGAGAACACAACGGAGACCACGTACACGATGACCGTGAAACCGGTACACAAAACGCACTGCGGATGAAAAGAACAGTTATTCGCAATTCCATCAACACCACTTCACCATTTCTGAGAAGTGCTACCTACCAGCATGAGGGGATCCGCATCCGTACTGCTGTTGGTGAAGGAGAAGAACAGAGCAATCACAAACGGGTTGAGCAAGTAGATGGCATACGATATTCTATTGAAGTGCTGGAACGCCTTCGCTTCCAAAAATCTCGACCAGACGGTGCTGCGACCTGTGGCACTGCCAATGATCATCCAACTGATGGCCAAGCTGAAGAGGATTCGCCCAACTACGAACAGGGTGATGGCCATGAGGGTCGAAATGTCCCGTTTGATGGTGGAATACATGCAGACGAAGAAGATGAAGATGGATAGATGCCAGCAAGTTTTCTCCTGAAGCTCGCTCAGGTCGGCGGGGCGCAAGTTGTACTCGACGAAGGCCCAGCCGGCAATAGCGCCAATAATGTAAGGCAGAATCCGCACAAAGGGGCTGATGTAGATGTCGGTGCCGGTGGCGAACATTGTGTCGAATGATAACTGGAACTTGGTACGCATTCCGATTCCGTACGACCACATAATGTTGCCAGCCAAGAACACGGCGGTTAGTGTCTTCACGACACGAGGATATCTACGGAAGTTAATGGGTGTAAGCATTGTTTCGGGGAGTCACTCCATTCAGGCGACGAACGAGTACTTACTTGGTGTACAGGAAGAGCAGTGCAGTGGCCAAAAGGAAGTACTGCATTTCACACGCCAGTGACCAGGTCCAATTCACGCACATGTCGCGGTGCTCAAAAAGGTTCTGAATGAAAAACAAGTTGCGCCACCAGTAGTTGGCACAGTTCTCGTCGAATTTGTCGTGTATGTCGTACACTGAGGTCTTGCCAATGTAGGCAAAGAGTAAGTCCACGACCGCCATCACCACCAGATACAGCGGGACTAGGCTGTGGAATGAGAAAAGCTATTCAATCCGCCACATGGCATCTGAAGTGGACACAACTTACCGTAAATAGCGATGAAATGACATTTTGAAGAATTGCTTGACATTCTGGCCCAGGCTGTTGTTGCGGATCATTTCGACTTTCTTGGCGTTCCTGAAGAAGTTATAGGTCTGCAAAAAGCCGCTGAAATTTGGAAATAAAGATAACAAAATCACTGCGAACTGGATGTTGTGATGAAAGGAGCATGGCATACCTTATGGTGAAGAACACATCGACCAACAACGCGGCAGAACTAATGTACTGGAAGAACGTCTTCTCCGCATAGGAGATCAGGAAGGCCTTGTTGTGAACCGTGAAATACATGAACCACAAGACGTGGAACACTAATATCCAGACGGCACAGACGGATCGCAGGCCATTGATGACGGGAATCTCAGTCGGTTTGGAGTCCCTCACGCTGAACATCTGCCGCAGATTCTCCTGCATGTCGAAGCACATGATGAAGTTGCGCACTTTCGGGAAACTCCACAGCGAAAGTAGAACGTCTTCATCGAGACCTGTTGCGGCCGTGGTCGTGGGACTATCTGCATCGTCGAGAGATTTCTCCTCGGCTGCAGTCTGGGACCGACTCCTGAGGTACGAAGCCATCAATACCATTGCCAAAATGAAAGCCACGAAGATACTGAGCAATTTGAAGCTTTGTCTTTCAAAGAAGTCCGGAGCCACTTTCAGGTCCTTCATGTAAACCACTTCGGGTTGTATGTCGTAAATGTCGTTCTCTATGAAAAGGCCCTCTCTAATGTAGTGAGACATTAGATTTTGAATCTCCGGCGTGTCGCAGGACGAGGGTAGGCACAGACCCACGTGGATAATTTGCTCGGACATCAACTTGATTTCGACTTGCCACGGAGAATGGTGCTTCAAGTACACCACCCTGTAGTCCATGTCGAAGGGAGCGATGTCGTTGATGATGCCCAGTTTCATGATGCGCGGATGATTGGCCGACAAAGTTATACCCACGGGTTTCCGAACGGCGCCACAGCCTTCCTTGCTGCCAAACCAGTAGTTATGGCCGAAGATAAACCCGGACGGCTTGTTTCCGGAGGCATCCAAAGCTGCTCGAGAAGACCAAATTGAACTTATTTACACACATTACCATATACATTCTGGCCATGCTTACCTTTGATAGCCCAGGGCTCCTTTCGTAGTATCCCTCTGCGGATGCTTTTCAAGTGTCGATGGCAACTGGGATTCACATTGCTTTCGTTGGCCACCTGAACCAAGCCGTATATTATGGACGATCTCTCCAAATGATCCTCGAGCCTGGGAGCTACCAAATCGTAATTCACAGCATCATCCTGGGAGCGAGCCTTCGCCATGGCATCGACCGCTCTTTCGAATGTGTCGTTTTTTATCGTCGCATACGGCTCCAATACCGAGCTATTTTGACCCAAAACTAAACTGACATTTTGTCGAGTGCTCAGCGAATGTGTGGGATAAGTCGTGAACAATACGACCACAACCGAGAACCACATGGACACCGCCAAAACTGTTCGGCTGCCCATCCTTCCTACGGCGTGTTTACAAATTCTCTGCAAATAAAACAAAAATATCATCGACATTGTTTGGAACGTAGGTTTCCCCCTTTTCTCCTCGAATAAATCCCAGCTGACAGGGACGTACACTTGGTCATGGATAACCGCCCTGTATAGTCCCTGCTTGCCGGACTCGGAATCTTCGCAATTTGTCACTGATGCACTTAGCATGAGCAAAGGGGGACCTCAGGTGAGATTTACCACATCCGTTTTGACATAATTTAGCATCAAACCCACATTCATTCTTGTTTCAGAGCTCTACGACTTACATGACGACTAGACAACCTCAAAAAAGTGACGGTATGGTCGTTATTGAATATTTCAACAACAAAAACTTATTTTTTTTTTCTGAGAAAAAATCCTGTTCCTCGGGATATATGCTCTACTATAGATCTCGTATCAAGTTCACAAAAGGTGACCCTTCTTTGTTTTCCTCCGCAAACTATCTCAAAGTTCTTCTAAAAAAACATACACATCCCTACGAATGTGTCCTGGAAGCTTTAAGGTCTATTTTAAAATATAAATTTTGAACTATGACCCCTGACCACTGCAGTCCATTCGTGTCTCGTTGTTGTGTAGAGCCCATCTGTGTTTGTCGACGAGGTCCATCAACAAGTTCAATATTTGTTTTCGTTTCGGTGACGAAAAAACCAATTTACATTTATGCAGATGTCTGAATGGCCATTAACCGCAAACAACTAAATCCATTCAATCCCACCTTCAGACCAATTCGAAAACACACCAAATGGAAATCGAACGCGATCTCATTTAGATTGACCTTGAATTTGCTGCAGAAAGACTTGAGCAGCCCCAGCCGCATCGTTTACAGACCACACACAAACACACTGCGCTGCGATGCGATGCGATGGGAAGTCGTTCGTTTGGTGAATTTGACTACCATTTGATTGGATCGGCAGACGTCATTTTCTGTGTAGCGCTGTCGGGCATCTAGCGCTGCTGCGAAAAGTCGTACGCCAGCGTCCGTGCTCCTCTTTGTTGTCTTCAATGAAAACCGGTTGGTCACCCTTTAGTCATACCAACACCAGGGAGCAGATCGTGCCACTATTACGCTATTTCGACATCGAAATGGAGCCGTCGACGATGATTGTTTGTTTCTTTAATTTAGGCGAGGTAGCCATGCACCTCTTGGACCCAATCGATTGGGTATTTTGTTGTGGAAACTTTTTGGTTAACACAACAGCAACATCAACAACAACAACAAGAACTGGTCCGGTTTCCATCTAAGCAACTATGCTTCTTTTGTGTGTTATTCGTGGGCACATCCAAAAGGGGGCAAGTTTGACCCAGTTAATAACTAAGATCGACCTAATTAGCATCTCGAACTCTTTACGAAGATCACAAATATGCCTTCGTATTATCGAAATTTAATGAAAACAGAATGGAATGATCGTGGAACAATTGCAACTGACGTTAACTCCGAAATGTCCATGTTTTGATGTTAGCATTTAAAATTACTGACACGGTCTAAAACAAGTGCTCTGTTCCAGAAAATGCAAGAATCTACCAGTTTTGAAATTTATTTTCGATGTCATAAAGTAAAATTTTTTGCATTTCTGGAACCGACCAATGATTTCCTAAATGTGATGTAAAATCGAAAATAGAGTGCCTCCAGTGCGCAGTATTTGTCTTTAATTCGTTCGCAAATAAAATAATGCAGGATTCGAAATGACTACTTCTCTGACATTTCTTTTTTGGCATATTTTACGTGAAAAAGTTAATTGTTCGGTAGTTGATCCCCCACCCCCAAAATTGTTTAGAAATGCGTACGTCCCTGAACAAACTTGTTTTAAATCGTACATACCATAAATTCATTTGGAGGGACCGGCCCGCCCCCTTTTTCGCCACAGCATATTAAGACTATATAATTAACCTATTATTATATTAAATATAGCCTATATGTTATGACGAAGGATGTAGACGTATTCCTCGATTCACTCCATTTTAGTACACCCATTCGACAGGCGCATAAGAGGATTTTTCCAGCTTAAGTCATTCGGTGGCTTTTAATATAAACGAACAATAGTATTTGGGGTTTTCTGGTCCAAACTCGGCAAACTTGTAAGGCTCATAAGTTCATGTTATGCGTTTGGGCATTAAGTTTTGTTTCTATGTTTTTATGCATTTTTTTAAATGTAATTCGTAAATTTCCACCCAGAAACCCGTTCGGCTGGTGGAAATAACAAAAAATTAACTTTTCCATGTAAATAGTACCAAAAACGTCATGTAGGTAACCATTTCGAAGAGGGCATCAGTGCCCAGCTTACATTCCAGATTCCATCTGATATTCGAATTATTTCATTTGCATTTGTATATGCCATATCCAGATATTCGCCGGAGATCGCATAAAGATATAAATATAATTTATGCTTCTTGATAAGCATAAAATCTCAAGTCGCATTGACGATGCCCGTCCGATGTGTGACAGTCTGTTGAAATCAAAATAGCAATAGTTTGCATTGTGTCTAGGTTGATTGAAATTAAAAAGTATATCGACCCAGGTTTACCTATAGCCGATATTAAATATTTCACTGATTTAAGCAACATTTGCCAACAAATGTATTTAACATTCGTTATTTGTAGTTAGTAATGGATTCTAACTCCTGTATCTCGATACTTTTATTAGTAGTTTTTTCTTATCCCATGGTACAGCCGAACTTAAAGTTTTCTTTTGAATAGTTTTCATTTTTAATTCGAGATATTTAGCATCTGTTATCTATTCTTTCATCTATTGACAGTGTGCGGTAACTCTTATGGTTTTCTTGGGTAAAGTACAATTAATGCTGAACACCCTTCCATACATTCGCATGCCCATTAGCATATAAAGTCCAATATGAGTACGCATGCATCTTCATATATCACATCTTGACCACAATTTGTTTCCGATTGCTTCATACCAAAGGACACATACATACATAGATAGATACAGACATTGGTTGACATGGTTTTTTTTTTTGGACTATCTTGTAAACGGTGTTCTTCAACATGGCCACAACAAAACTGCCAGCTATCAAACATTTGTCATTCTCAAATGCCGGTCAAGTTCGGCACTGCTTCTTTTTGTTGTTGTTGTTGTAAACTTTGTTTTTGTCTCACTTTTTCCGACACCACACTGCTCCAGACTTTTGGTGCAGTACTGGTTTTGAAAGCCAAAACGAGGCTGCTGCTGACAAAGCAAGTCGTTAATGAAAACCCGTAATTATTTTGACTTGACCACTAACAAATTATTGCATAATTCCCAAAAAATAAAAACAAAAACAAAATAAAACTTGAGATGATGCTGGCGACGACGATTAAATAAATGCGATTGATTGACTGGTGAACAAAAAGAAGTGATGGGAGACTTGTAAAACAGAGAGGCAAGTTACGGCTTCTCCACACAGACGCCAACTGGCCCGCCCTCTCGTGAGATCGCTGCGATAGTGTTGATCTCCCTGCCATGAAAACAAATTTTTCGCGGGGTGGTGTGGTGGTTCCGATTGATTTGGTCAACATTCGATTTATCTACTTTTGTGAGTGTTGTTGTGTTTTTGTTGTGTTGTCGAATCAACAAATCCCAAATTGAAGATAGCGAATTGGGACTCTTGGAAACTCTCAATTCCAATTTTACTAGCAACTTTCAAGATTTGTTGCGGACCACTTCAAACATACACCTAACAAACGAAAAGGTATCATTTAAGGACCTCTCCGTGGTCAGGCATTCGACGAATGCATGACGAATGATTGTTCTTTTTCGTATGTCTTGGGGCTCGAATTCGAATAGAAAGCATATCGTCGCACATTTAATGCACTTAGAATTTTCGTGGGCAAGACTTGATTTAGACTGGCAGTTGGTTAAAGAATGTAAACATATTCATACATACATATTTATACATAGAAATTAAAGGGGGGTCTTCAAGAATATCACAAACAAAAGGAGTCAAAACTCGCAGAACCCTCTAGGACACCGACAAGAACTGTTAAAACTTACTCTTCCGTCTAAAAGCCTCAAAAATATTTCTTGAAGTCCATTCCTTTGAGCGTCTGGGAAACTCTCCCCTTACAAAATAAGAAATTCTTTGGTCATTGTGGATATGTTTTCGGAACTTCAGGTTTGATGCCGGCAATCAAATCAAAATTGTATTCTAATTGTTTCCTCTCATTGCGGCCTCGTTAAAACTCTTCCCTAAACCAGCCAACTACAGCTAAAGACAAAAAAAAAAACCTTCAAAAAAACTCTGAAATATTTTTGTTTATTAACATTTAACTGAAATTACGCGAAGATTGGTAATAAAAGAACAAATAAACACAGTTTTGGTAGGGTTTCAAGGCCAGAAGTAGCTGTCGTTTTCACAACAACAAAAAAACTTGACTCAATTCGCAAACAAGAAAGCACGTCATAGTGCGAGCTACAGTCGTTGGCCGGGAAATGGTTTGGCTTCGGTGCACGTCGTCTCTTCTACCGGCCGTCGACAGCATCGCGGAAACACCCTAATGTAACCCCAAGCAAACGATTGACATCACATTCAAAATAGCCAGATAAATTTTGGAATTGTTTTGTGCGAGACCTAATTGACATTGAAAATCAATTACTCGATACCTTTGTGTCTATTAATGCTAGGCGTATGAATGCTAGGCGTACTGACACACACACACACACACATACATACCGCAAATAAATACATACATCCATAAGTTAACCTATCTACATAACTCCGCAATGCTCAGGGTTATAATTGTTTAACAATTTGACAAGCATTTGGACACGACTTTCATTCGTTCTACCGCAATTAATTTTAAGTGCTGGCGATGCCGGTACTTTGATGAAACGAAACAATGGTCGTCCTCTAAATGTTTTATATTTTTGTTGTTTCTTTCATTCTATAGAATCGCTCAGGTCCATATATCATTCAAATGTATACACATATAGGTATGTTGAGTCTAAAGAAAAGTTTTCGGGCAGAACAAAATGAATTGTCGTAATGTCCTATCCAAATAAGTTCAAAGTTTCCGCAGAGAACTATAGAGCATTTAATTCCGGACTCCCCGACAACCTATTCAATAACAACATTTCCCTTTCCTAGTTGACGCTTCTAAATTTGTGGCAAAGCATTTGGCCAACTACGGATAATCTACTTCGAAAAAAGGATTCGAAATTCTGTTATGTAGCTGTTGTTTAGTTTCTTACAAATTGAAAGAGAAAGAAGCTTTTCAGGCCATTAAGCTTGTGTTTTGTTATTTCCAAATGACGACTAACAAATGCAGCAAATAGTTTTGTTAATCTGAAAGATTTTTTCAAAAGATTTACCAAATGTTACGAAAAGTTCTAGGATAGAGCTATAAACTTGAAATTTGTTATGAGAACAAAGGTTGGTTTTGTGATAAAGAGTTTGTTTTTGAAATGTGTACTGCAAGTGCACGAAAAGTACTAAATAGTACTTTATTTAGTACAATTTGGTACTGGGTGAGTAGATAGTGCATGGAATCCGAAATTTGGTATTAGGGTTGATGTTACTGTGTACCCTGGATATAAGGAGGTGGTTTTGGAAATGTGTACCATAATTGTACGATAAGTATTGAGTGGTATTCTGCATGGTATTGGGTGAAGGAAGAGATATAATTCTCAGATTTGATATTTAGATTACTGATGGTATCTGTGTTTGATAATTGCCGGTGATTTGGAAATGAGTTCTATTTTTATACAAAATTACGAAATTGCACTACATTAGGTTAGGTATTGGGTGCAGGGATAGAGCTGGAATCTTGGATTGAGATATGGGTATAGTACTAAATTTGGTATTTGGGTGAGGGAATAGAGCTGAAATTCTGAAATTTTATATTGCGGTATCTTTTGTATCCTGTGCCTGGTGGTGGCTATGTGAAATGATTTTACTTATATCCTTCTCGGCAAACTGTTTCGGGTCAAACGTTTGCAATATATCGAAAAGATCGACCCAACTTTACATAATCCTAATTTAAAGTTTCGAAAAGTTTGTTTTTCAATCTCAGGCCTCAATTTTGGAATGTTGATTGTTTGTTTTAGAGATTGTCGGATAATATATAAGGTTCGTAATCGAAATGACAGATAGAAAAACAGTTTTAGCTTCCATTAATGACACAACAACTAATTTTGCTCAAAAATCCCAGAGACATAGTTAAACGAAGACAAGTGTCAAAATTTGTCCAAATGGACATAATTGTCAACAGACTCATATCCAGTTTCGAAGAAACAAATCCTAACATTAAGTAGTTTCCAAATACATTACATTTCTGGTTTATCCGTGGAAAATCTTCCTTGCTGACGGGGGATGGGCGGACTTTTGAATCTTTTTCCACAATTTTCGATAAAATTCCCTTCCAAGGCTGGGGGCGAAGCTAGTTCCACGTTGGCGTAGTACGATTTCGACACCGCTCTGCTGAGCATCCATCAATCCGCACCGTAAATACTGAAATTATCTCCCGGTTTTCCCCCATTCCAATCGATGTCGTTATTTGTATCTAAATGTTTATTTGCCTTTTTCATTTCCATGCGACTGCCAAATCATATACCTACATACATACGTCTCTATGTACGTGCGTGTGTATAGGTATGTACCAATGTATATCTATGGGTATTTTACTTCAAACATTCAGACATGTTTTCGAAATTGATGGGAACATTTGAATGAGAAATTACACTAATCACTTGCGGTCATCAATTTTCGCACTCTTTCTTCTTTTTCTTCTTCTTGTTTTCTTCGTGCGGTTTGTTTTGATTTATGTGGAAATGACACTTTAACTATGGCAGATTTGCGAGCGATATTCAAATGTGTCTATTTTACGAGCTTGCATCACAATAATGGAGCCAAGCTGAATTGAGCTGATCTTGGTGCTGCGGTAGCTGACGATAATGTTGCTGATGCTGCTGCTGCTGAATGCGAAACCCAATTTTGCATTGGTCGGAATACCATCTGCCGACTACATCGATCACAAATTTCTATACGCGTCGTCGGGTGTTGGTACGAGTAGCTGTGTACATGTGTGTGTGTGTGTGTCTGATGAAGACCTTGACATTTTTCACGAATTTGGAATTAATCGCGTCTCCCCTCTGGCTGGCCCATATTGGTGCTCAACCAACTGATTCGAATCATTTATCAAACTCTCGAATGCAATTCCAATATGAACCACATGTTACCCTTTCACATACCCATACACGCACACACGAGCGTATTAATGAATGTAGAAATAACAGGGTATTACTTGGTAACCAACATTTGGACCTCAGAAAAGACGTGTCCCTTTTGAAGGCATGAGTTCGTTTGAGTTCCTCTAAATTTCTATAGGGTCGCCACCTCACTACAAAGATGGTTTCGAATATCTTTGGAAGTTCATAATCCGAGAGATAAATTAATGTTCGAAACTTTTATGTTGGGAATTGAAACCTGGTTTTTGGAGACAAAAGAGAATAGGACTATGTAAGGTAGGGCGATAAAAGTTGGTGGGGAATACATTTTTGAGCTTTGGGATAGAAGAAAATTATATTCATATTTGAAAGATGATTATGACGATTTTGTCTCAAATTATACAATTGTGGAAAACGTTACAAAACAGCTTGCTGCATTTGTCAAAGACAAAAGCTGATATTTTACAAAATTTTCGACAGCGACACTGAGGACTAAGGACTGAGTAGAAGAAAAAGTAAAAAACAGTGTGACGATTTCAGGCCTGGATTCTACTTCTATGAAAGTAAAAACTTAAAATATAACAAGAATTGAGACCATCGAAACTTTATTTGCTAACTGTAAAACACAGAGGCAAATCGAGTTAGTTGGGTACACAGACAGGATTGACCTAGACTACATGTGTAGCCTTAAGTAAGCCTTTGTTCAAATCTAATTCAATTTTCAAAAACACACCATTTTCAAAAGTCGTCACTCTGGTATTTTTTATAAAATCGGGAATCGGACATAGGATTATAAATTTTGTCATAAACTTCGGAAGAGTTAATGATTTTGTTTTGCCCCGTTTTGTTCGAAAATATGCGCCAGCTGTCGCAGGTTATACATATGCATGTATGTGTATACATACATAAGAGTATTGGCATTTTTAGCTTTTTTTTCAAGATAAAATAACTATGTTTATTTACTGCTTTAAGTCACAATCCAAAACACTTCAGAGACCTCTTTTGGCGCTCCGACCCTCTTCACCGAATCGACCCAGAAGCCCCCATGCATTTAAGATGGAGTTGGTAATTGTTTCCATTTGTTAAAAAAAAACACCACCTTCACTTTCGAATATTGAAATTATTTGAAATGTTAAAAACATTCAAGGACACTTTTACTTCAACTGGTCCGTGTTGAGTTTGATTTTGTTTATGTTTCTTTCGCCTCTTTTCAGCGATTTTGTTTTTGGGTGCTAGTTTATCAACTTTCATAATCCTCCGCTTTCTTTAGTTTTGTACACACCTTCTGCGTGTTGTGGTACTGCTGCGGGTACTCTATTCGGGTCTATTTGCCTGTTGGCTGGACGAGAGTGGCGACCGCAGTAACGACTCCGACAACTTCACTCGACGATGACCGTTTTCTGAAGGGATTGTTGACGCTTTGTTGGGACTCGTTTGTTGTTGCTGTTGTTGGTTTCGGTGTCCGACAATCAACATGAATATTTAAAAAGTTTTGTTTTGAAAATACATTCGTTTCTCGCGTAGCATGCGCCTGCGCATTTATTTCGTTTCGTTTACAACTTCGATACCGGCGATCAACTGTTTTAACCTCGCGACACGACGTCTCTCAAGCAAATGTGCTTCACTGCACACAAGTGTAAAGTTTTTAACAAATCCATCTTCGGTCCATGGTCTGACATCGACCAGACCGAGCTCTGCTCACAGCGGCACTGCCGCGCTGTGCTGAGCTGAGCTTGACAATGAAAGGGAACGAATGGTGAAATGAGTTAAGCGGTCTTCGCTCTCCGTGGAGATTGAAATTGTGTCTGCAGCAGTCGTTCCGAATTGTGCGCATCTGCTAGATGAGCCGTAAATTGAGGCTGGCCCTTGGCTGGTTCAACTTTTGGCCTGCTGGCGAGCGAGCGAGCGTGTTTAATGTTTCGGATGCGAAAAGAAGACTTGCACAAACCACGAACTACCGTCCGATGCAATAAAAAATTGCAAACAACTCTGCTTTACGTTCCAAATTAAAACTTTTCACAAGCTGGGAACGTGACTTGTACATTGGCAATATTCGACGGAGGCAGTGCGTTTTGTGCACGCAAATATTGTATTGGAGCCTTATTAATCCATTTGGGGGTGTGAGGGACAGAACCGCACCATATACGTCAAGTGGTAAAACGTTTACATCATACATGCGTATGTACATATATATGGGGCCGAGTTTCGAATTTTGAGTGTTTGAAAGTTCCTGGGCGACGGAGTATATCAGGTAGCAGAAAACATCAGAGAGGTTCTCAAGACTGTTCGAAAAGGGTTTAAAATCATTTATCGGCCGGGCCAGGGTTCTGCATACTAACAATGTTGCCACATTGTGGTACAGTGTATTATGTCTTTGTGCATTTGTTTGTAACAGGCAGTAGGAACCGAAATAGAATATACGTCCATGCATGGTACAATGAAGAGAAGGTAGGTCAACTTTGAAAAAATTGCAAGTATAGAGGTCTACCTGTTTGGCTTGTAATGTCAGAAATAGTATCAAAACAATAATAAAATCAAACAACTTGTAGCATTTATTTTGAATAAATAATTGAAAACCGCGAAAACTGAATGAAAGGTCGACACTTCTTTTCAAAACCAGGTTCTATATATCTCTAATGGATTATTTCGCTACAAAAACTCTACAATTTGTCGATGCATACGATGAAATAAACATTTTGAAAACATCCGAATTTGAATTTTTTCTGAACAATTTTTTTGTTATTGAAAAGAAAACACATACATAAACAAATAAAGATGATATATTAAGCCAAGAAAATTTAAATCATATGGTATCATAGCCCTACCTTGATATCATTGTACCATGCGTCCATGTATTTTTGTGAACTAAATACAGTTCACATTTATTTGACTATGGAAGAACCCTATTGGAATTGGATATAGTCGGTCAAATATAGAGGAAGCTCCATACACAGGGTGAGATAAAATAACTGCAACAAAGCCAAATACCATAATTTTTACTTTTTTTAACATTTTTTTGAATGAAAACAAAAAAGGCCGGAAATAGCATAAAATTTTAGAATAAGTTTAGATTTGTTCGAGTTGGTTACATTTGCCACGAATTATGGCCTTCAAACGGCCAATGAAACCGTCACACGCTGTCCGAATGTTACTCTGTGGTATTTTGGCCCATTCCCGGCAAAGCCCTTGCTTGAGATGTCCGACACTTTGGTATTTTTTAGTGCCAACCTTGCTTTCCAAAATACTCCAGACACAATAGTCCAACGAATTGGTATCCGTAGATTTTGGTGGCAATTGTGCACTGAAAATGAAGCGAGGAACCTCATTTTGTAACCATTCTTGGGTGGCGCGTGCTGAGTCCTGTTGGAATGTCCGATCATTTTGTTTGTTTACAAACTGCTGGTCAACAAATGTTTTCTCATCGGTGAAAACCAAATTCGGCAGTTCACCACTTTCGGTCAAGCGAAGCAAACTTTAGCTTTTTTGAGTCTATTCTCTTTCTGTTGCGGTGTAAGTTCTTGCACTTTTTTGAATTTCAATGGCTTTATCCCGATTTTTCAATATTTGCCGAATGGAATAGTGCGATATGTTCAGCTCACGAGCCATTTTTCGGCCACTGAAACGCGGGTTTCGATCAAGTCGCCGTCCACTTCCTTGACGTTGGGCTACGCCACCAGTATCACGGTAACGAGCGATGGTACGAGACACAAAAGATTTATTCACATTTAAATGGTGGAGTGCTCTAACGACAGCCACCTGTGGTTTTCCAGCCAAATATAAAGAAATCACACGATCACGCTTCCATCTCGAATAACTTTTTTCTGGAAAATTCTCACCAAAATGCTTTTGTACGCTGGTAAATAATATAATGAGCTGTCACTGGAATAATTTTAACAGCTGTCGGACGAGTGGCCTAGAAGTGCCGACAGTCTGAAATTAGTCGCAGTTTTTTCATCTCACCCTGTATATTGTTCATCCAATTTGATATTTTTGTCGCCACAGCCGTAATATGCACTCCATAACAACAATATTGGAAAAATATATCAAATTTTATAGAGATTCAGTTCAGATTTTGATATTTTTATACGATTTGAAGCGTATTGTGCAGCAAATGTTTAATACAAGCTCAAATGTATTTTGGCACATACAAACGAGTTCAGCCCGAAAGAAAGTGTGCCGAATTTGATGAAAATCGGTTCATATAAAGCTATTGGTCCTATATATATGTTTCAGAGATAAGTGCCTCCCTCAAATTTAGTGACAATCGATTCAGAGTGGAATACTACCATTTGATTATAAATTATATGTGTTCCAAAACCATAACACACATTCAAAAACGATCATAGTTGGCATGATTTGCTTCACACAAATATGCATAGTGGTGAAGGGTAACTTAAGCTGGGAATACATAAAGCGCTTATTTGGCTGGCTTAAGTCATCGGCTGGCTTCTTCGGAAATGAACAAAGGAGCCTACAGCCAAAATCGAACTAGGTCAACCTAAAACTCCTTTGTTCATCTACGAAGAAGCCAGCCGATGACTTAAGCCAGCCAAATATGCGCTTTATGTATTTCCAGCCTTAAAGCCGGCCCACCCGACTTTTGACCTTTCTTTATTGGTTCATATTAAAAAACAAGTTAGAAAGAACCTTTCGGTTTTGCCGACGGATGTATGCACTCCGCCAATATCCTTTTTTAAAAATAAATTTTGACTTACGTTATTATTTTTAAAATGTTGACCCATCATTGGGATGATACCGAAAGAGTGGGCCAATATTTTCAATTTCGTATATGACCTTAGTAAGATATAAATATTACAACGTGCCAGATTTAAACTATTTTTATTTCATTTCAAAATTTTGGAAGAGAAAATATTTAGATACTCCAAGAATCCCTGACTTAGGGTGGAAATACATACAGCGCATATTTGGCTGGCTTAAGTCATCGGCTGGCTTCTTCGTAGATGAACAAAGGAGATTTAGGTTGACTTAGTTTGTTTAGTTTTGGCCCTAGGCTCTTTTGTTCATATCCGAAGAAGCCAGCCGATGACTTAAGCGTGGGGAAGGTACCAAAAAAGCATGGGCCGATTTTTATCATTCACTGCGAAATTTTTGGAATAGTGAAATTGAAAGAATATTGGAGGCTTATTTCGCATTTTAGTATCGTTTTAGTTGTTCAAAATGTTGACCCTTTGTAGGTGTTCAATTTTGGGATGTGTGGAATTTGAAGACAATCAGACACTTATTTCACATTTCATAAGAGTTTTAATCATTCAAAATGTTGACCCCTTGTGTGCACAACACTTCCTGTGTTGTTACAAATATTTAGTTTGAAAAGATCGGGTGCATATTTCGCGTTTTACGAGTTTTGTAGCTATTCAAAAGTTTGACCAGTTGTGAGGGAGGTACCAGAAGGAGTGGATCCATATATCCCATCTTCACACTTGATCTTGTGTTAATAAAAATATCGCACCTGGCCTAGCACTGACAAACAAATTGGGATTTGCAAGTTTTTCGAATAGTCCTTTCTTGATCTATGAGGTAATTTATTTTCTTTGAAAATGTTGACTTTTTGTGGGATAGGAACCTAAAGGGAGGTACCAATGTTGCATATCTCCAAACTCGATCTAAGTTTAACAATAATGCTACAATGTACCAACTTTAGCCCAAATCGGATACTCCCTTCAACAACCATAGATTGACTCCAAATGTCCTGGAACGGCCCAAAGAGACCTAGGTTCTAAAACCGTTATTTCGATTCGGCACTTTTTGGCCGTATCAAGTGATATATGCCCTCTGCAGCCATATGGCTGAGGATATAAAATGTACCAAAATGGGCGTTCCACGGTACAAAAGTTACAAATAGGTAGTAATAGAAACGTGTAAATTTTCCAATGGTGAAATAAAATAACAATAGTTACCATATTCAATTGAAATAAATGATCTGCTCATGGTAGGAGATTAAGTAGATTTGTATAAGTTTTTTCTCAACACCATTCGGAGGGTATTATGCTATGCATTTTGCAACAATTTTTTTCATTCAAAATTGTTTTGACAGTTCATTGTCCAAACAGCTGCGTCGATGCCATGGCAGAAGAATACAGGTAGATGCATCAACGCTTGGGAGCATTGATATGTCAAAAAAAATAAATGTTTTTTTCAAATATAAGTAGATTTTTATATGTTTTCTTATACAATGTCATTCGAAGGCTATTATAATTCGCGTTTTTCAACAATTTTTACAAATTTAAATAATTTTTCATTCAACATTTTCAATTCCAAAATTGGTTTGACAGTTCATTGTCCCAGCAGCTGTGTCGACGCGTCTGCTTTAACACCTTATTATTTGGTCAGGTCTGAACGTGTAATGAAGTATAAAAAAGACATTCAATATGAATTGATATCCCATAGAGGCATATGAATGAAGAAATATAAATAAATGCTGCCACAAACTTAAACACACGATAGCTAAGTGCAGCCAAGTTTAATTCGGTCGAAATTAGTCTTATGTATCCCTACCTACTTTTAATGACGGACGAGAAAGGGAAAAACTAACTTATTGCAAATAAAATCGACGAAATTTTTAACTTTACTAAACATTCCTTAAACGAAATCGAATCACCCACTCGGGCAACGTTTATGCATTGTAAAAATATCAAGAAAATGGAAAAGTTTTCAGCTCTTTGCGCATAAAAAAGATATACAAATGTAAGGTATTCATTTTTTGCCAAAAGACAAAATCGATGGCAAGAAAATCGCAGCAGTGTATCTACATACGAAGAAAAAATCAGAAAACGTAGTCATTATTCAGTGTTGAGAATTTTTTTGTGCTGTGGCTTGATTATGTATTATGGCAGAAACACTCGAAACAATATTGTCACAACTTTGTGGAAAAAACTGAAAATATAATTTAGAATATTATGGAATAACGTTAATTGCTTGCTTATTTGCGCAAACCGAATCAAAATCAAATAAAAAAATATTCAGAAAAAATATATTTGCATTAGTGTGTGTGACCGTGTTTGTGTGTATGAGAAAATTCGGACAAATATGACAAAAGAAATAACAGAGCATATTTCATAATTTATTAAATATAAAACGGAAGCAAAACAAATAACTGCGGTCCCATTTATTTACTTCACATATTATTTGTTCACACAACCATTGTCTCCTCGTCCTTTAATGTCATCAAGGTCCCATTCCCCATTCTCTCTCTCTCTGCCAGAAAAACACGAGTTAGTGAGCGACCAGTCAACAAACAATACAACTAAATATACTCTTGTCATGCGTTGTTGTTGTCTTTGGCGTGGTGTATGTGTGCGTGCGAATGCCTGAATGAATGTAATTTAACGGAATTTAAGGTTACGTTGATTTGTAAATAACATATTTAATTGTTTTCGTTAATGAAGTATAATGTAAAACAAACAACGGGCAACAATAAAAAATATACGAAACTTTGTGCGAAGCGATTAAAGAAAACATACTCTAATCTAATAAAGAACCAGTGTTCCAACTATATCAAAAAAAAAAAAAACAAAAACTGAATCTACATCAAAATATAACGAGCAGATACTGCTTCGAACGTCCAATACCCTACTACAACGTATTGATGACCAATGAACCGAAAAACATTGTTGGCAGCAGCAACAACCGTATGAAATGAAAGAAGGAATCAATAGACGGAGTGACTGACTCATTTTATTTTTGCAGGCTTTTGTAACGACAAACGCACACTCACCGTTGGTCAGGTGCGTGTAGCAGGTTGGCAGACAGGGAGCTATAAAGCACTCACTCTTCCCTCTTCATTATAAGGCTTTACAACTTCCTGTGCTGTGTGTGTTATTTGCGACAATACAGTCGGCCTCTCAAGTTATTCGATTGGGAGGTTTTGTTTGTTTCTGCTCCGCTGCAGTATAGTAGCTCTGTTTATAAAGCTACTACTTGCGGCAACGTTTTATTTTTTTTAATTCTAACAACTTCAAATCAGGCAAAAAGCCAACAAAGGCACATATTTTTCCTTGGGGCCAAGAGTACAACCACCATTTCGTCGTATTCCATTCAACCGGCCAAGGAAGACGAAAATTACCACACACTACCAAATCACACAGCAAGAAACCAGAAACAAAAACAACACGGCCTACTTAGAAAACTGCTAAAACGGAAAAGAAAATCATTGAAGAAAAGCATAAGCGAACTGAATATTGTTTTGCCTGACAAGTTGTCCTACGTACGGTGTGGCTAATACTCATAAGAACGGAGGAAAGATTGTATTTTGTTGTTGTTCTGTTCGTGTTTAGGCCCTCTCTGAGTGGCGTCTCATTTCGCCAACGAACCACCAACGCTAAAAAGCAAGCAGAATATACACGAAGGAAGGCAAGCAGTTTTGTTTATGTCCTCTATGCCTTTTGAACGCTAGACATACCCTTCCCTAACCACTTTTACCCTTGACTATAATCTACTACGTATCTAACTCCAACACAACACCTCTCGCAACGTCAACTTGCCAATCAGTCACAATGTCAACGGATAAGATCAAAGTTGCTGTCAGGGTGCGTCCCTTTAACCGCCGTGGTAAGTACCTTTATTATTCTGTTCCATTTAAGAGAAAGTCCTAAATTGTTCGATGAAGCAATGAAAACAATATTATGTTGTGACAAGAGGTTTACAGTGGATTTGGAAACCTCAAATTAAAATTACTCCCCATATTGCTGCAAATAGCTTCAAATGCTTAAATCTTGGTAATTTGTAATTTTAGAACAATGTATGGAAAAAAAAAGAAAGGGAGTAGTTTTTAAACTTGAAGGTATTTCTTGATTTGATGCTGCTTAGGCGACTTATAGTCCTGTCTTATTTTCGTTTGAACCAAGCTTTGTTTGGAGTTTTCATTCTAAGACAGAAATAACAACCGATAAAAGCCCATTTACGGAGCTGAGCTCATACAAGCGTTATCACAATGACTCATTGGCTCATTCATATGACGGAGGAGCCCCATAAAAACGATCGTATTCACTCACGACACACTCTTAAATGCCTTTTTGTTTTCATTTTTATTTGCCCATACACATTGAGTGCTTGTGTGTGTGTGTATGTGTTTATAAAGCATTTTACTTAATCACGGGCTTTGTCGTTCTCCCCGTCAGTGAGTGATGGCAATGAAAATGTTTAACTCTGCTCGTATTTATACAATTCCGCAAGCAAACTCCACATAGATATATTAACAAAAAAATAATAAAAATAAAACAATAACAAAAGATATCTAGTTTTGCTGTATTTATGTCTTCTTCCGAATGTTTATGTTCGTTATGTTGCGAAAGTCCGAAAGACGGTATGAATTAGGTATCTGCTGCTTCTTCATTCGATTTTCCATTTGAACATCGTTGTTAAGAGATACAATTAAGTTTGGTGTTTTGGGAAGGTTTTGTTTTCTGTTGAAGCGAATCTGTTTCCAATGTACCCAAAAATTATTAATAAGAAAACTCTATCTTTGTTGTGAGACAGCTTATTTTATTGTGATCAGACTCTGCGGCAGTCGGTGGATTAATCTATATTTTTGGGGTTCTGATGACGGGGCTTGAATTGGATTGACAACAAAACCAAATTCCAAACCATTCAAGCACGGTTACAAGCGACCCGACCCCATATTATTGCATCAGACAGATCATCATCATTCCTCTTCAGTCTATTGTCTCTTGTTTTGGACATTTCTGGTAGGAAATTGTACTTGTCTTTGAATTAGTTTAGTGTCTGTATATGGCACTACAGGTTTTTCTTGTTGGTACATTTTATTATCTTATTAAACATAGAGAAGAAGGCCATTACGGAAACTATGTTAATAGCCGAAAGTTCAGCTTACATTTAAACTTGTCTTTTGACAACGAACATCTATGCAGGCAGTATAATTTAAACTAGTCTGAGGAATATTTGTATCGCAATGGTTGATGTTACCTATAAGGAGTATTAAGGAAGAATGCTTCAAATTTAAATTTATTTTTGTCATTCCTTTTAAAGTATGATTTCATTAGGATTTCTAATGCATGCATTTTGATATGTTTTTTCCAATAAAAAAATATTGGTCACTTTACAAATTACAATTTGTATACAATTTATATTTTATTTCTCATATATTATGTAAGCCCTGTCGTTCATTTAAAAAAGAAATAACAATTCAAAATGGGGCAATTTGCTTAGACGACAACAATTTGCACATTAGCCCACCCTAGATGGTATTATCGGGCTTCAAAATATAAAATAAAATGAAAGCAGCAAAGTAACCATTTTGTGCTCGTATCTTAAAATACGTTATAACGGATAAAATATAAGTAAAAATTTTGGACTTGAGATTTGAATGCAATAGCATTCACGTTATTTGACATCAGTAATGGGCGCTGTAGCGATATTTTGGTAAATAGAATCGAATGAAATCATTTTTTTCCCCAAAACAACTTGAAAGTCATAAATTATCGCTAGGTACTCCGTAGTTTATTCTAAATAAATAAAAAAACGTGTCTCAAAAACTTTTAGAAATGCCGTAGACTTTCACGCCGTTGCTAACTAGGAGTAAAGCTTCTACCAAATGAACGATTCGGGTTACAAGGAACTGAGCGTTTCTCGGAAAATGAGAAAACTCAAAAGGTCCCATGAGGAAATGGGAGAATTGAACAATAAAAGTATCAACCGCCTATTAAAAATTAAACAATCTTTTACGCCCAAAATTTTGTATTTTGGCATTCATATTTTGTAGACAAACTACAGTCAATTGTTTTTATCGGCGATTCCTTGTGAATCAACTACAAATTTGTGCTTTTCTTTTCATCTTTCAGAAGTCGAACTTGGAACAAAATGCATCGTGGAAATGGATAAACATCAGACCATACTTCACAATCCTCCAGCCATCGACAAAATAGAAAGGTTTGAACAAACTTTATGGTGTATACCTTTGTTGTGAAATTATTTCAATCGCATCCTTATTTTCTAGCCGGAAACCGCCAAAGACTTTTGCATTTGATCATTGCTTCTTTTCGCTGAATCCTGACGATGAAAAATATGCATCGCAAGAAACTGTATTTGATTGTCTGGGTCGAGACATTCTGGACAACGCATTTCAGGGATATAATGCCTGTATATTTGCATATGGACAGACAGGTAAAGTAGATAGAACATAAAAATATAAAAGGAAGGATTTCCAGTAAACGGTAATATGTCTTGCAGGTTCCGGCAAATCTTACACAATGATGGGCTCACAAGAGTCCAAAGGAATTATACCGCGCTTGTGTGACAACTTGTTCTCAGCCATTGCCAACAAAACTACCCAAGACCTTATGTACAAAGTTGAAGTGTCCTACATGGAAATCTACAATGAGAAAGTACATGACCTCTTAGATCCGAAGCCAAACAAACAATCGCTAAAAGTACGTGAGCACAATGTCATGGGACCCTATGTCGACGGTCTATCGCAGCTGGCCGTTGCCTCCTACATGGACATTGATAATTTGATGACCGAGGGCAACAAGTCGCGTACAGTGGCCGCAACGAATATGAATGCCGAATCGTCGAGATCTCATGCTGTGTTTTCGGTGGTCTTAACACAGATACTGACAGATCAAGCATCGGGAGTTACGGGTGAAAAAGTATCGCGAATGTCCCTTGTCGATTTAGCCGGTTCGGAAAGAGCCGTTAAAACCGGTGCTGTGGGAGATCGACTCAAGGAAGGCTCAAATATAAACAAGTAAGAGTCACATCATAATTTCTTAAGTTTCCAAGGAATCCATTTTGCATAATTCTGATTCACATTATAGATCACTTACAACACTTGGTTTGGTCATCTCTAAGTTGGCCGATCAGTCCAATGGAAAGAAGGGTGGGAATGACAAATTCGTGCCCTATAGGGATTCAGTGTTGACTTGGCTTTTAAAAGACAATTTGGGAGGCAACTCTAAAACTGTTATGGTTGCGACTATTTCGCCTTCTGCGGACAATTTCGAAGAAACTCTTTCTACACTACGGTATGCAGACCGTGCCAAGCGCATTGTCAACCACGCCGTTGTTAATGAAGATCCAAATGCCCGTATAATTCGCGAATTGCGCCATGAGGTTGAAACACTACGAAATATGCTTAAGCATGCCACTGGATCGCCGGTGGGCGACATCAATGATAAACTGGCGGAGAGCGAAAACCTAATGAAGCAGATCTCACAAACCTGGGAAGAGAAACTAGTTACTACTGAGCGCATTCAAAATGAGCGCCAACAGGCACTGGAGAAAATGGGCATAAGTGTCCAAGCCAGTGGTATAATGGTGGAGAAGAATAAGTATTACTTGGTTAATCTAAACGCAGATCCGTCCCTTAATGAGTTGTTAGTTTACTACCTTAAAGAAAGGACTCTGATTGGCGGACACACCATGAGTGGTCCTCAGCCTGACATACAGCTATCCGGCCTGGGCATTCAGCCAGAACACTGCGTCATCACCATTGTGGATGGTGGTCTCTTTTTAGAACCATTCCCAGGTGCACGATGTTTTGTGAATGGCACGGCAGTCGTAGATAAAGTGCCGCTCCACAATGGCGATCGCATCTTGTGGGGCAATCACCACTTCTTCCGCGTTAACTGCCCTAAATCGGCAACCGCAAACCTGAGCTCTGAGCCACAAACTCCAGCCCAACTAATTGACTACAACTTTGCTCGCGACGAAATCATGCAGAACGAGCTGAGCAACGACCCTATTCAGACAGCTATAGCAAGACTGGAGAAGCAGCATGAGGAGGACAAACAAGTTGCTTTAGAGAAACAACGACAGGTAATATTTGTTTGTCTTTTGTAAATATGCAGACAAGGTAATATGTTTTTATCTGATGACAGGAATACGAACGTCAATTCCAACAATTGCGCAACATTCTTTCGCCCAGCACACCTTATGCTCCCTACACTCCTTATGACCCACTGCGCTTGGGTAAAATAACACCCAACACGCCTACTTCCCAGATGCGCGTGGAGAAGTGGGCGCAGGAACGCGACGAAATGTTTAAGCGTTCATTGGGACAGTTGAAGAATGACATCATGAGAGCCAATGCTTTAGTCCAAGAAGCCAATTTCCTTGCCGAAGAAATGGAAAAGAAAACTAAATTTTCCGTAACTCTTCAAATACCACCAGCCAATCTTAGCCCTAACAGGAGGGTGAGTGCATGGACTTTCTATTGACTAATGGAGTAAAATAATGTGATTCAACCCGTGCTTTCTGCCTTTTCAGAGAGGCGCTTTCGTCAGTGAACCGGCAATTTTGGTAAAGCGGACGAATTCTGGCAGCCAGATCTGGAGTATGGAAAAGTTGGAAAATAAGCTAATAGATATGCGTGAAATGTATCAGGAACACAAGGAACGCATTCTTAATGGATTGGTAAGTTTTGGAACAAATCCGTCCTACCGTTATTTTGTATATATCAAGTCGCATCAGAAGCACCTGTAAACAGTAGGTGGCCCAACTTTGATTTACAAAGTAAATGGTGGATGGGACACCCTAACATATCTTGTATTCGAAATTTATGAAACACCCACCTATTGAACACAAAGATCTAACACACTGGTTTCACAAATAACTCTTTTTCAATCATTGCTCACCTAAAAAGCCTCTTATTGAGACATTCTCAGATGAGGAAGATTCGGACGAGGTAATTCAAAGCAAGATCAGCTTACATATTTTTAAATATTCTACAATCTAAAGATTTCTTAACCGAACACAATCGTATACATTGTTTTGTAGGAAAATGAGAGCTCCAAGTCCTTGGATCCATTTTACGAGTCTCAGGAAAACCACAACTTGATCGGCGTGGCCAACATCTTCCTGGAGGTCCTGTTCCACGACGTCAAACTGGACTATCACACACCGATAATAAGCCAGCAAGGTGAAGTTGCTGGCCGACTTCAAGTCGAAATACAACGCATCGCTGGACAAATGCCGCAAGATCGAATGTGTGAGTCGATATCGGAGTCATCGTCCGATTCGCGTGATGATTACGATGATGCTCCGGACCCAATGGCAAATCAGATAACTTGTCGGGTGACAATTAAATGTGCCTCTGGTTTGCCTTTGTCGCTGTCGAATTTTGTGTTCTGTCAATATACTTTCTGGGGCCACTCGGAAATGGTAGTTCCCGTCCTCAATGCTGAGGCAACGACCAGAGATCAAAATATGGTCTTTAGGTTTGACCACACGAATGACTTCACGGTAACAATAAATGAGGAGTTCCTTGAGCATTGTATAGAAGGGGCTCTGTCAATCGAGGTCTGGGGACATAGAAGTGCCGGGTTTTCAAAGTCGAAAGGATGGGAAGTGGAGCAGCAACAAGCCAAAGCTCGCTCACTAGTAGATCGCTGGGCAGAATTGTCGCGTAAAATTGAATTGTGGGTAGAGATTCACGAATTGAATGATAACGGAGAATACGGACCAGTTGAAGTCAGTAACCCTAACGAGGTGCTCACTGGCGGTATTTATCAGTTGCGGCAAGGACAACAGCGCCGCGTCCATGTCCGAGTTAAGCCAGTCCAAAATTCCGGTACATTGCCGATAATCTGTCAGTCTATCGTGAACATATCGATCGGAAGCGTGAGTGTGCGTTCACGTCTGCAACGGGCATTGGATTCGTACCAAGAGGAAGACCTGACAATTCTGCGAGAGAAGTGGAGTGAAGCTCTGGGTAGAAGACGCCAATATTTAGATCAACAAATTCAAAAGCTTATTAAAAAGGAGGACAAGACAGAGGAGGAACGGGAGCGTGAACTGAGCCTGGTTCACCAATGGGTTTCTCTAACAGAGGAGCGTAATGCAGTATTAGTCCCAGCTCCTGGGTCCGGAATCCCCGGGGCACCGGCTTCTTGGGACCCACCTTCCGGAATGGAGCCACATGTCCCTGTTTTATTCCTTAACCTCAACGCTGACGACCTCTCGGCACAGAACACCAACGATGAGTTCTCTATAGCTGGCATTAACTCGATACTATCCAAGGAACATGGCCACAAATTCTACACACTGCAAATTCTGCAGCACCTGGACAAAGATGTTTGTGCCATTGCCAGTTGGGACTCATCTATGCATGACAGTCCTGCTCTCAACCGGGTTACGGAAGCCAATGAGAGAGTGTACTTGATCTTACGAACAACAGTGCGTCTGTCGCATCCCGCTCCCATGGACTTGGTTCTCCGAAAACGCCTTTGCATTAATATCAAAAAAGGACCAAGCATAACGGATCGTCTCAAAAAGTTCCGTCTCGTTAGAATGGATGCGACTATTCCCAGCACAGGAGTCACATACGAAGTTGTGTCGAACATACCGAAGGCATCTGAAGAATTGGAGGACCGCGAATCTCTAGCCCAACTGGCAGCAAGTGGTGACGACTGTTCGGCGAGTGATGGCGAAACGTATATAGGTAAATGTTGGGAGTGGAATTCATGTCCCTGGCTAATTTTTTTTTTTTTGCATTTCAGAGAAATATACACGTGGTGTCTCAGCAGTTGAGAGTATTCTGACCCTGGACCGTTTGAGGCAGAACGTGGCTGTCAAAGAACTGGAAACGGCACATGGCCAGCCACTGTCCATACGCAAGACTGTCAGTGTGCCCAACTTCTCGCAGGTAATGTATACATTCTATGTACTGAATCGATCGATATACATTTATATGCGTATTTATACATATATACACAATGTACTACTTACACACCACTGTCTCTTTATCTGCTTACGAGTATTGTCTTTGTAATGTACCGTGCCGTATATATATTTTCAATGAAACTAAACTCTCAATTCGTATTTTTCTGAAATTACTCTTTCTTTCACTTCTTTTGTGCTTTCACTCCCATCATATGAACAAATAATGTATTCAATGTGTATGTTGTGTGAACACCACCAATTCGTATCGAAAACTTTCACCACAAATCTGAAAAAAAAAATAAAAAAATAAACAAAAACTAAATTGATAATAACCTGATCTATTAATTTCACCTTGTTCACCACCTCTGTCGTGTCAAAATTAACCAATCTGTTGTTGATACACCCTAACAAATCGCTAACCAAAATCAAATCTGAATAATCAATCCGCACTATAACTTTTTGTAATGAAAATGAATAAATGATCAGGCGGTCAAAGACACACCTAATCCTGGAACAGTAAGTACTCAACCAGTTGCTTAAATAGAACATTCTCATAAATCTATTTTGTTCATTAGAATTTTCATTTTCCTCTTATTTAATCTACTCTGTTCCTTTGAAATTATGCCGTGTGTGGGTTGATTTGATTTCCCGTACCATTTCCTCCCACGTCAATGTCCACCAAAAACTCGTCTATTAATCACGCATTTCTCTCAATCTCATTTTGCCACAGATTATGGGCTTTGACGCATCTATGGAGTCACTTTTGAATGTGGGTCGATCCGAATCATTTGTGGATTTAAATCAATCTCTTGGATGCAAATTTATGCCACAAGGTAATATTTACATCAGTAACTACTCGAGGATACGATTCCAAATGTACTGAGATTTTGTTAAATTTTTAGTGCAAACAACGCCCGTTGGAATGCGAGATTTCAACACTCGCTCTCGCCACAGTTTCGGAGGAAAAGGAAGCAACGACGACTCTCCCGGCAAGCCATTTGGAATTGGTAAGTTCCCGCAGTGGTTATCTACGACCTAAGTTCTTCACACATTTTGATTTGTTTCCTTTTGTCGATTAAACAATCATACCCATTACTTTAATTGCAAAATTATTATACCTATTGACCTGATGAAACACATGAACTTGACTTGCCATTAACATCGCCAATTGTAAAATGTTTAGGGTTGGGGTGGATGCGTGAGTTTCATTGTTTTCAGAACGCTCCTATCGAACGAATGCATTTGTTTGCCTTTAAAATAATTTCATTCACTCCAATATCAAATCCAATGATAGGGCCGTTGTGAATTGCTTTCTCCATCCACCCTAACACCATGACACCCTAATATGTAGTACTCGTAAATGGAATTCTTTCAACGTCGTATTTTATCATTTATATTTCTTGTGTTTTATTGAGTCATGAAAATCAACCTTTGGAGATATATTTTGCATCTGATGATGGTCTAGTGGTTCTTTTCTAATTATTTCTAAATCCCTTTTTTCAGAAAATATTTGTTCAAAGCACGAGATCGCTTAATTTGTGCTCTGTTTTTAATTGTATGGGTGGTTGTAACAAATTATAAATTGAGACTTCCATCATTAAATGCAAAAATCATTTAAACCAAACGAAGCAGATCATGACTCAAATTTGAAACATTAGTAAAAAGTGAAATACATTTTATAGCATTGTTCGTTAAGCTCAATTCCATTTTGAAATCGTTTTTTTTTTTTTATTTAATCCGACCGACATTAATTATTTGGTTCACACTTAGTAAACGAAAATCCTTAGATTAGTTTTTTTTTTCGCAGGAGTTAAAAAATAATTTAAAACTAGAATCCCTTATCTTTGATGCACTATACAAATATTTTCGATTTTTATTTTCCCCATTATTAGTTTACACATTGACATTTTTGGTACTTGACTCGCCACATCTAAAACACTTGCTCAAGCTTTTGTTTCATTTTAATGGGAACTGAAGCAACCACCTTTTGAACACGGCTAACGGTCCAAAGAAAAAAAGAACAACTTTTCGCTGCTTTATTGCAAATTCTAGCTTTTTTTGAATGTATTCCATTTTTTCCAAATCAACAAATATCACAAACTTATCGTTCTACATGCTGCCACATGCATATACACAGACAATTCTGTCGAGTTTAGCTGTCAGAACAGATCACTCATCACATTCTTATCATGTTTCATGTTTCACAACAACAACGTTATTGGATTCAATTCTTACTCCCCACCCTTCTACACTGAACTCAACGTATCCTGCCAAAAATATGTGAATTTCAATTTTTATTTTCTGTTTTCTTTTTTGTTAAAATGATTTACGATTATTTTATTTGCATTGGAGTCCAGTCATTTCCTTGGTTATTTTTCTCAAATATTTTTGCACTGGTTGGCAAACAGCAAAAATTGAAAACATTTTAGTTGTGGCCGTTCTTACTGGTGCAATTTTCTGTTATTTTTATTATTCTTGTTTTTTTTTTTTTAATTTCCGACATTGAATAATGATTGTGTATATTCTCAATTCTCAAAACATCACAACAATGCGCAACCATCGCAGGTTCCTATTTGTCAGGTAATAGAAAAATGCTGGGTTGAACCCAAAAATTAAAAAAAAAGAGTCTATTTATGCAATTGTTAGAAGAACGCAACTTTTCCAACGTTCAAAAGCATATCGATACGTTTTGTTTTGTTGACAACACTTAACACTGGATTGTTATTTATTATTGGACAATTTTGGTTTCTTCTTCTTCGTTAGAATCGTTCCTTTGTTATGAAACGCTCGTTTCGCAATATTTCCTGAACACTCAGTTTGTTTTTGTTGTTTCGCCCCACGGACATACTAATTGCAGCAATGGGACACGGAACTCCGTTACCAAACTCAAAAAATTGAGTCATCCTAAATTTTTGATTTGAGTTTTGAGAGACATCCCTCCTCCAGTCTGAGTGTTTGTTTGCAACACTCGAGCATCTGTTTTTTTAATACACACAAGATTTTAATTTGAGTTTGTTTGTTTAGTTGTAATCTGTCCTAAAACACACTTGTCGTTTGTTAACCTCTGTTTATCTATACTTGTCTGTCCTTTTTCTATAAAAGAAACTTACAGTCTATCATTTAGTTCAATTTTCTAATTTGTTTAGTTTACAATGTTTGTTACCAAGTGTATTTCATTGTCTAGAAAATCCATCATCTAATCCATCCGATCGCATTGCATTGCTTCGAAATCATAATCAAATGCCGCCATCGCAATACTACATCGTCACAACCATCCATCAATCCGCCCATGCACAGCAAAGGACATTCAACCACATTAGAAGCATCATGTTGTTTTCTTGTTGTTATGTGTAAAGATTTGTATTTAATTGAATGCTCTCGGTTCTCTATGCGTATTCTAGTTCTTCTTTCTATTTGTGCAATTATTTGTTGTTTAAGTTTGTTTCGTCATAAGCCTGTCATAATCACAATCACCCATTGTAATTTCCTCTGCCACAAATATTAATAATGTATTGTGTAGCGCAAATTGCTATTCTGCCTGCCGTTTGTAATTACGTTGCCGAGCCTCGCCCTTTGGCAAGGAGGCAGTTAGATTTAGAAGACAAGGTGCCATAAAGCTTTGACCCTGGAACCGATATAGCCCATAACGCAGACACTGAAGAGTTCACTCAAACTACTGAATATTTGAAGCAATTGAAGGGTACCTACAACGAATTATTTTAAATGGAAATATTCAGTGCAAAAACGAAATAGAAAACGGGGGACTTCTGTAGATATATCATACGACTTGAGTTGCAATATTATATGAAGTTCCAATATTACAACACTAAACTCTAAAAACAACACTCTACTGAGTCTGCGTTGTGGGCTGGTTTACTGGTACTAATAGTGGCATGCTCCATAGAAAGACTTAAGTGATCCGCAACAGCACTTGGTTTTAGCACAGGCCTTTTACCTAGTACACATAGTTTGTAATTACATTAGAAGAACTCGGCACATGTGTTGATCCCAGAATGGCGCTAAGTAATAAATACAAATATGTTTAAATGGAATCACCTCAACGTTTAGTTCCTGTTTTAGAATTTAGTTTATGCTAACTGTGAAGCAGTTTATTGATATTAATATACTAATCATCTGTATGCGTAAAATGTTTCTTCTTTTGGGATGCAGCTCGTCCAACATTCTTAAATTTGAATTTGAATTCAAATTCGCTAAGAACACAGCCAACAAAACGTAGGTCCAAAACAATTTGAATTTAATTTGCTTACGTATTACACACAGCGTATAGAAACCTATACAATATATTTCAATATTTTTTTTAAAAAAGTCATTTTAAAATCATATGTTGTTGTTTTTTGGATTGTAGCATCGCCGGCTACAAGCAAATTGATGGGCATGCGTATGACCACACTGCACGAAGAGCCTTTAGGCGGTCATCGTTCATTGGCCGAAGAACCCGAGGACAGCTTGAGTGACTCGGACTATAACCACGATTATGATTTGGAGAAACAGCAACGACTGAACAATAGCTACCACCAGACACCGCGATCGCGACTTACGTCATCTAAAACAATGGACTCCTTTATGGATGTAAGTTCGCATTCGAACCACAGCTATTTGAGCTACACCTCAAACGCGAACACAAACTTGAAGCATTTGACAGGCTTAGCAACGCCAAGTATGAGCTCTTCAACCTCTAGTGGTTACGGTTCACAGGTAAGTCAAGGCGAACTTGGAAAATCACCTTAACTTGTTACATAAACTGACAACTCTATTGTATATCGTATTGTATCGTATATTTTACAGGCCGTGTCTTGCACTAACCTAACCAATGACGATATCACGTCCATGCGTTCTATGAGCATTGATGAGACTCCAGGTAATTGCATCCGAGCCCATGTGTGACACATGATACGTTAATGATACATTCTGTTTTGCAGATTTTGATCGCATCAATTCCAATTCTCCACCCAATCGTGCTGCAATTCACCGTGTAAATCCATTCCTTAAAGACATGCCAAATGCGTCGAATGGAACTCAGAACGCAGAAACGGGTTTTAGCAGCAATCAATTGCATGAACAGCAACCCAAATCGCAGGTCACCGTTGCCAATGATTGTGGTACACTTCAGCAGCCAAATGAAGCGGATACGCCGTCAGCCGTGAGTAATAATCAAGAGAATATGCAACAACGTGATATGGGCGAAATGAACCAGAAAACTGACCTTTATAATTCTGCTACTGACGAATTAAATGAACCAGAAGGCGAACACGAGATTGCAGATTTTAAAAATGAAAACATACGCAATATCGTGGACGACAACAACAAAACGAATGTTATGCCAAATAACAACAACGACACTTCACCTTTGCCCAACAACACAGACAATCAGAATGGGAACGAAGTCATAGGCGAAGGCACTGGAGTGGTAAAAACTCCACTTCCAGCGGGGAAAGTTGTGAGAAGAAAGAAGACACCCCCTCAGGGTGGCGGCAATGGCAATGAAACATCTAACGGAACAACTCTAAATAATAATCGCACAAACACTATGCAAAGAATGTCGATTGCGAAGATGGAAGGATTGGCCAATAATACATCTAATGACTATCTCAATATGACATCAATGAGCGCCAGCATGGAAATAGAAGGTGGGTCAAATCATTTAATTGCATTCGCATTGAGTTTACTTATATCTCTCATTTTTAGACGAAAGCAAACATGTCGATTTAACCCTTCCGGATTGGGTCACAATTGGCGAATCTGTCCTGATTCGGCCCTACAATACAAGTGGAGTGATCTCCTATGTCGGCACTACACACTTTCAGGCCGGAACTTGGATTGGCGTGGAACTTGACACCCCGACAGGAAAAAATGATGGCACCGTGCAGGGCATTCAATATTTCCACTGCAAACCGAAGCATGGTATATTCGTGCGATTTGACAAATTAATACTTGACAAACGTGGCAAGGCAATGAGAGCATATAAAGCAGAAAAGAGCAGTAAAGGTAAGCTGGAACAATCTTATCCATATTCGATGTAATAACAATATGTATTCGGCAGAGACAACGCCATTGCCGCGCTCTAAAAGCCGAGGCGAATCGCTAAGCTCGCTGAGTGGCGCCGGTGGACGAAAATGATTATTTCCGAAGTGTTCGCATCAAATGCAGAGATGGGCCAACATTACAAGTGCAAGGCAACATTACACAACCCCGACAACACCAAATGCAATATCCGTGCCAAACCAAAAGCACCAACCCCCCCATATGCGCCGAACTACATCTGTCGCAGCAGAACCAACACCACCCCCCATTTCCACTAAGCGCACATGTTCCATAATGCGAATGTCAACATATGATGCGAACACGTCTAATGCGAAAAAAACGAATCGACGCTCGACGGCATTTTGAAGGAGACCAGGTGAAATCAAAGTTATCGTTTGCAAATGCCGTTCGATGCAGTCACTTAATATAGCTATGAGACTCCAAAAACAATGAAACACACACATACACACAAAGCATAGGAAATCAGAACGAGTATAAACAAATCTCTATCTAGAATAGTTGGCTTTATATGAGAACAAAATCAGCTTCCTTCAAGCGAAAACTTGTCCTTTTTGTATGTTTCTGTTGTACTAGGATTAAACACAAATAATGTAAATCATTACACTAGCTTAGGTGGCACTTTCTCCAGAAATGGAAGGCAGCTTATCTATACGGATACTGCAGTCGAGTAAACGCGTTCCCTTTGCTTTTTATGTCAACTTCGGTCATGTTTGAAGCACACCAACCCCTTCCCCCGATTTCAAGCATTCAAACAACGACGACAGTTGCAACTCGTATTGTATAAACATTTAGGCGTGGTGGCATTTCATTTAAGGTTATTAGTGAGGTAGACAATTTTGTATATTTTATTTAGAGCTTTTAATAGATACGATGATAACGAACGCTGACATAGACAGATTTTTATCAGTGCAAAAGGCCCCCGACAAACAGTTAAGCTTTCAGTTGAAGAACACAATTTCATAGTTTTAATTACATTTTATGTTTCCTTATAATTATTATTATTATTATTTGCTGCTTGTTTATTGATTGTAAGTCTTCTAACTATGTAATTTTACTTTACATACAATCATTGTGATGCTTTTATTTTGTGTTATTTTAAATTCCATTTGTGTTAAGTATTCCCTTTTGTTTAAGCAACGAATTAGCCAGTTGTTAGCCAACATTCTGACAGCGATGTCAATTTTTGAAAGCCGTCGTTTCTTGACGTGATCCTTTAAAATCATGAAACTTCGGTACTTTCTACTCCATCGTAGTAAAACAATCAATTCCTCCAGGTATTTGAAAAATCCTGAATACGATACAGGATGGAGCAAATCAAATCAAATTTTCATGGACATTGTAAAACATGTTATGCATATAAAGTATTTTATTATACACACATATATAAATATATATATCTATTAGTTTTACGATCGACCGAATACATCAATGTGTAATTACTTTTTAATTATCATTTGCAACAAAATGCTGTAAACTAAACAAATGTATAAAATTTAATGTGATCTGAAGTCAAGACAAAAAGTGTTGACTTAAAAAAGGACTCTTTTAATTTTGCAATAAAACTATTCAAATTTTAATTTTTTTTCAAGTGCAATATTTTTTATAAGCTTTGTTTGTTTTATTTTTTGGTTTTGGTTTTTTCAGAGTTAGCCACCTATGCAAGACATTCCAAGCCTCCTTAGCGTTGACAAATTTTAATTAAACTTAAGTTAAGCGAATTTAGTAGTAAAGATAGTACAGATAAGCAATATTGATTTTCGTGTCGACAAAGACCCGACCCGACCCGATCCGACAACTCAAGGATAGTGTTGAGACGGAAACATTTTATTTAATGCTAAGTAGTGAAACGCGAGAAAGTGTCATAGTAACGCGGCATTAGATGAAATAGCAGAGACTTCCGCTGGAACGAACGAACGAAATTCGAATGTAACAGATCAGCTTCAATGAGCATTTACCAGCGGGATCGTCGTATAGTTTGTATGCTATTAAGAATCATTATAAAATATAACAAATACTAAATAAGAATTCTAAACTAGAAATTACAAAAGAAAAAAAACGTATATTTCCGACTCCTTAAAGCCTATTTTAAGATCTACATCAACACTTGATATCAAACAAAGAACGCCCAAAAGGAAGTCCACAAATTATCTCTCTTACAACGTATGTGCGTTGATGTTCCAAAAAGAAAAACGAAAAAAGTAACAAAAAGAAAAACACAAAACAAAAATACTGTTTTACGTAAGTATCCATCCAAAATGAAAAACATGTTGATGACAAAAACCAAACGGAAATGTCCAATATTAAAACAATAAAAAAAATATGTATTACAATATTATATTTACTAATATTCCAATTGACTATGATGAACAGTTTTGAAATTCACTCTTACCAACATTTTCAGTAAAAACAGAAAATGCAAATCTTACAAAACGTCCAAATGTTTTTATTCTATTATTTTAAAGAAAAGCATTAATAATATACACTGCAATATTTCTTGATATATTTATATATATTCACTCATATATACTTACATACATATACTGTGTGTTATTTATTTTTTTTTTTTAACAAAAAAACCTTATATGTCAAGCAAACCATCCAAGTCCAGACAACTTTTCCATCAAGAAGAACACATGCATTCGACCGAGTCGATTTGCATTTACCTGTGTATATGTATGTATGCTGCCCTCCACATCCGAATTTTTCGATTTCTGATATAAAAAGCAAAAACAAAATGGAGTATTTAGGTTTTCCAACTGCTTGACTACCTCCATCATGGTGTCAGGTTGGAAGGAGAAGCACTCCAAACTTTATTTCTGTCAATAGATAATCGACAAAACAAATAAATGAACAAAAACATTTACACTTCTTCTTCTCATACTCAGAACAACAAATAAATAAAAGCACAAATTTTGATCGTTATCTAGCATATAGTTATAGCTTAGAGCATGAGTGCGCAATAAATGCATATTCCCGAATCACGCTTCTCAATTATCAATCATTCACACGACAACAAATATGTAAGTAAATGGCAACTGCCACAGAAGGATGCCAGGCCATAGCATAGCGCTTTGACTTAATTTGCGTTTGTTTCTCATTCAAATGAAAGGAAAAGGTAGTTGTGAACAAATTTATTTCTGTTTTTCATATTATTTTGTTTATTTGAGATATTTTACTACAAAACAAAAATTGACTATTTGTTTCACAGCAAAGGCCTCAGAAAGGCCGGCTAAGTACCGGTTGTTAGCAGGTGTCTACATATTTCGCTTGTGCTTTGTATTAAAACACATTTTCTGCAAACAAAAAAAGCTATTTGGCCTCATTCTGGACGAGTGAAAAAACCTTACTTTCAAAAAATGGAGATTCTTTCAGTTAACCTTTAACTAACGATATGGTTTTATAGTGTTTTTATTTATTTTTTGTAATTAAAAATATTGTAGATTATCCTAAAAGACGTAACTATCAAAGAAAATTTTAATTTAATATTACCATCAACTCAAACATAAGTCCCAAAATTTCACATCGACAGTTAAAGGTTAATGAAAAATGTGCACATCCATGCGCCCAACTTTTTTGATTGTCAATTATCAATGGATGCAATTGTATTAGTAGAATTTTCTTAATTTCCCTTTTTTCTGTTATTGCCCTAGAATAGGGCAAACATAGAAATGGTAGAAAAACTTCAATTGGAAACAAGCTGGTTGGCTGACTGACAATATTCTAGATAAAACATCGGAGTTTCAATCCCAGTGCACATTTCGCTTGTCTAATGCGCTAAAGATCCGCAACAAAGTTGCATTTTGAAATTGAAGACTTTGTATACTTCTTCGTTATAGAGCCATCCTTGGTGAAATAAAAAACAGCCCCCTAAACGAATTGTGAACAGGATCAACGTTTGGTTTTCGTTTGTTACACGCATTGATACAAAAAACAATAGCAAAAGGACAACAACGACAACGCTGGGTGTTGATCTGTGTGGCAGCAAGAAATTCAAAATAACTGCCATTTTTGGTGTTAAAGCAAATCGATATAACAACGACCTGCAAATTTTAAGTTGAGCAGGTGGGAAAAGATTTTCTGACATTCAAAACTGTCCGGATGTGCCATATAAAAAAGCCCAGTTCTTCTTTCCGCACATATAAGCATTAAACCTTGCACAGTAGTGAATCCCTATTTCTGTAGTTTTTACTTAATTTTATGTTTTATCACAACCATAGCGCAAAATACCTATTTCAAAAGATAAGATAAAAGCCCTTCCACATATTATTTTTAATTTTTGCTTTTCGTCGGGAATTTAAGCAAATCTTAACAGACAAGTCACTACCCTACTCCAACTGCATGCATTAAACACACCATATGAGTAATAAAACAATTTTTGAGAAATACTGTGCTGTAAAGTATAAAAAGAGAGAGGGAGAGAGAGAATGAAAGAACACGATTGAAGGCCATCTTTTATTTCTATGTCAAAAAATGTTTACCAAAATTAAAAAAAAGTATCATAGAAACGTTGATAGTGTATAAGGAAAGTGTAACGAACTTACAAATTACAAAATATTAACATTAACTACACCAAAGAAATATTAAATAAAGGAATATTAATTATACAAGAAAACGGCGTTTGTTTTATTGCAAAAATGGTTTCTTTATTTTTTGTTTTTTACAATAGTAATGGATAAAAATCCAAAATTGACCGAAATACTAAATATTCAGTACTTGCACCATAAAGCGAAGCTATTTAATGTACTATATATAGACTGTGTATGTAGCATACATGTCTGAGTATATGTATGTCAGCATAGTGTAGGCTTACAAAAATATTCTTTGCTTTTCCTATTTGTATAATATTTCTAGTTTTAATTTTAATTTAAAAATTCTACCTAGTGACTAATATAGGAAGTAATTTTATACCAATTTGCATTCATTTTAACTCAGCAATGGTTAGGGGAATTATTCGGTTCAGAGATTTATTAAATATTACCTGATTAAGACTTAATAAGGAGTTTGTCTCTTGTTACAAATCAGTCGTGTTGATAATAAAATAGGTGATCTGTGATGCGTGAGGAATGATATTTGTTAGCCCCTAGAACGACAATAATTTCAATCATGAATAAAAATCCCGCTCGGATTTGGAACATTTTTTTTTCGAAACTAAAGTGAAGAGTGTAAATGTCAATAAAATGTGTGTATCGGGTTAGTAAAGGATTTTTCCTATGTTTTCCATTTAAAAGAATGAACTTTAAAATAATTTTCCACAAGGAAAAATTCCTCGAGAATATTTGTGATTGCCCTGAATATCTTAAAACTGGCTGTCGTTTTCGTTATACCACTATTTATGATAATAGAAGGTAATGTCGCGTCGATAAGGGTGATTGTACCGCATCTATACATCAGATATATATATAAAAACTCGGACAATTAGCTATGGAAATGACAACAAAAGTTCACAAGCAATTCTTCTTCGTTTCAAAGGTGCTTGGATTTGTTCAATTGCAGGATACATTTCGATACATGCTTGGGTGCATGTAAATAATTGGAGATTTCTATACTTATTACAATAAACTATTTACAATTAAAGTGCAAAAGGACACAAGCGATTATTAAGAATAATGTGCACATCTTAAGACTGCGCAAGATGTACACGCCTTTCATATCAAAAATAGTTAAGTGAGATATGAGGATAGGAATTTTGTATTTACAATGTATCGCATTTAGAGCTCAAGGGCCGCTCCCTAAAAATTCAGCTAGGGAAGATAGGAATCGTCGCCATGGTCGATCGTCCAACTTTGAGTTCTGCTGTAGGGATCGCAAGGGGCGACTTGAATGTAGTCGCCTTGATGCAAACCGCGATGATCCAAACATAAACCGGTGAGGATATGTCTCAGGCGATTGCCTAGATATTGCCACTTTTCATTGTGATCGTCGTTTTCGAAGCAACTTGTCATAACTATCTGGAATGGTGGCAAGTCACTGTGTTGCACAGTGGCACAGCTCAACTCATTGCGCAGTACTTTGCTCTTGGTAAGGGAGAAGAACTGTGTCTTGGAAATGTCCTTGCTGCAGCTGTAAACCCCTAAATTGTAAGGTTTTTCGTTGTTTTGCTGCAAATCATCCAGACATATATTTTCATGGAGCGAACGGACTCTGCGTAAGAGGTAATTGGAATCAGAACAACATGAACAACAATCTAAAAGCACACGTCCTTACCTTCCGTAAGCTATCACATTTTTGGTGGGCACAAATTTCTCCGGGTAAATATTCTCCAGATACCAATCGAAACTTTTGCAACGCAATTTCTTGCGCAACATAACGCGGTGCGTAACGTCTCCTATGTCGGGATGGAATTTTAAATCCGGCCGATTAAGGAAGAAAATATTTATGTAGTCATCCATCCATACCAATGCCATGCGAGCTGTGTTAATGCCATGCGTGTCTCGATTGTTGGGGAATCTGTGGCATAAAAACGTGAATTCACAAAACGAACAATCTCTAAAGTGATTATTTTTGGCTTACTTGTAGGGATGAAAGTCACGGAAAATATGGCCAACCCTAGAGCAGGGAATGGTCTCTATAGTTCCACCACACTGCCATATTCTAAACGACATCTCCAAATTTTCTCCACCCCATCCGTCCATCTGAATGAGATGATGAAAAACTTAGTACGTTTATACAATTTTTAAGAGTTTTTTAGACTACAACACCTGTTCATCGTAGCTCCCAACTTCCCAGAAATAGCTACGATCGATAGCAAAGAGACCACCGGCCATTGTGGGACTCCATGTGGGACAGATATCCAAGTCGACGTCTTTGCATACCCGCTGTTGTCTCCTTCTCTCCTTCTCAGACACCGAAATCCAATCAAAATGGCCAGACCACTGGAAACCTCCCACTTGGAATGATTTGTATCCATTTGTGTTGTACTTGAAGTCTTGTGCATCGATTACGTCGATTATGGGGACTAGCACACTAGTCCTAGACTCCCTAATGCGATGCAGCAACGGCTCACACCAACCAATATTGGCTTCACAATGTGCATCCAAAAATATTAAGACATCGCCCGTTGCTACACGTGCTCCAGCTAGACGAGCGCGAATTAAACCCAAACTGTGGAAAAAATACACAGAGAATTGATAATTGAATTACATCTAGTGGTTCAGGTACTTGTAAATAGATGAAAAAACATTTGCGCTCGGTCTACTATCGTTATTAGTATTTGTTTCAACTTTGATTTCTACGTGTATTTGTATAAATATTTATGATTTCATCATAATGCTAAGCATTGGCCTTGTAATGCGTTAGAGCCTCCAAAAACGATCTAATTGGAGTTAAAAAGAAGCAAGAAAACCACTACCACCACCAATCAACAACTGCCCCCCCGATACAAAAGACCGAATTATTTATTTATTCATGTGAGCGGAGATAACGCTTTTCAAAACGTGGTTGAAAGCAGAAGACTAGAAGACTTGTTTTCTGATGTACCAAAGCAGCTATTTTGGTGTTTCGTCATTGACGCCTTTGCTGCAGCCAAGTCAAATACCAAAGTTGATCAGCTTAAATGTCTTCATCGTTTTACTTCTTCGTTGGAGTGTATATGTGTGTGTGTGTATATGTAAATGAAATTTGTGTGAATTAGGCTATACAAATTTGAAAGTACCTACCGATTTTTCAGACGCACCACTATCACCTTTCCTGGGGGAAATCTCGTTCGTATGTAGTAATCTAGTTTGTCGTGCAGTTCTTCATTGGTGCTGCCATCATCCACTAGAATAATCTGCTTCAGCATATTTCCATTACACGTATTAATGGAACTATGGACTGTTCTTAGGAGGACAGAGTAGGGTTCATTGAAGAATATAATTACTATACTGGCTGTAAGATCGCCTGTATTGTAGTGCTGTTTTAGGCACTGTGGGTGACGGTAATCGGCCAGTGTTCGGTTGTAGCTCAAATGTTCACTTAGTTCTTCATTGAGAGCGATTTTTTTGTAAATCTCCTCGCCACGTATTCTGGCTTCGCCCACTAGGTAAGCAGCTTCACCATTGTCCCCCAAACCGGGTTCTTGTCTGGAAAGGTCCCGAAGAATTTCGCTTTCATATGGAAGATAGGACTCCCCCGTATCTATATCAGGTTTGTGGGCCGGAGGAGGCGGCCTTTGAATTTCGTTTTCATTTTCATTCGATTCACTGTTTTTGGTTCCGTGTCGATGGCGACTCTGTCGGAAGGAAGCAACGTTTTCAAAACTCGAAACTATATTGTTCCCCTGCTCGTCGACTTGGATGACTTTAATGTAAAGAAAGAACACAAGGGCCACTAAAGCAAAAGTAATAATTTTGCCGTAAAAAGAACGAAACCGAAACAACATGTCGACGGAAATAAGACTGAAGGACTGTTTACGTTTTTAAGGATGGATGATGAACATCTGTCGCCCGATATACAACGTCAACGTTTCTTATGGAAAGGTCTGCCAGGAATGTAAATTCATTTATGAAGACGTTGATTCTTCTTGTATGGCACTATGAAGAAACACACACACCTCTTCACTATCGAGTCGACTCAAAAATCCAGTTTTCAACTTTTTTATTGGTATTTGACGCGTGTAAGCTATTTTATTGTTTTGGCCGTATTCTTTCTTGGCTTGTTGCATGGCGCAATGACAAGTTGTTCCAACAAATTTCAAAAACCAGTTGAAATGTCAAAAGTGTTTAGCTATTTGTTTATCTTTTGTTCTGTGATTTCAATCACAATAATGCATTTTGACATTACGTTTGGTGGTCAGCTGGCTTAACAGGGTAACCTTATACTTGGGCCATGGACTATTGTTTATCTTTTGTTCTTTGTTTTCAATCACAATAATGCATTTGCAGTTAAGGTGTAAATACATAGAAGGCTTTTTTAAATTATTTTTTTTTTTTATTTTCTTGGCTTAACATATGTGAACTTTGTTTATGTATTCGTGTGTATTGTTTTCAATTTATGAAAATTATTTGTAAAATATTGAAATTATTCCGTTGATTTATAAAATGCCTATTTCGACGTAAGTAAGGAAAAACAATTTTGTAGCGAAATAAACCTGTAGAGATATGTAGAACATGATTTTAAAAAGAAAGTACGACCTTACATTCAGGTTTCGCGTTAATAATTATGAGTCATATGTAAAATGACACGAAAATACACATCTATAATAAAAGTGACAGCACACATGGTACAACAAGGTAGGGCTATGATACCATATGATTTTAACTTTTTTATTTTCTTGGCTTAATATGTCATCTTTATTTGTTTATGTATGTGTTTTCTTTTCAATAACCTAAAATTGTTCAGAAAAATTCAAATGCGGGTGTTTTCAAAATGTTTATTTCAACGTATGCATCGACAAAATCTAGAGTTTTTGTGGCGAAATAATCCTTAGAGATATATAGTACATGATTAATAAGTGTTGACCTTTCATTCAATTATCGCGGTTTCCAATTATTTATTCAAAATAAATGCAACAAGTTGTTTGATTTTTTATTGTTTTGATACTAATTCTGACATTACAAGCCAAACAGGTAGACCTCTATACCTGCAATTTCTTCAAAGTTGACCTACCTTCTCTTCATTGTACCATGAGTAGCAACGAAAAATGCCATTGTGATTAAAACCCCCTCATACTGTTAAAGTGTTTGTTTCGTGACTTCGGTGTGAAAATACATCACATCATACATTTTCGCGGCGAATTCACGATCTAAGCTTTGATCCGTTTCAAAAGCATTTATACTATTGAAGACTCTGGGTTTATTAGATCCAGTGGATTAAACTTGTGTGTTTAGATACACTTTTTAGAGGGATATTAATCCCGCGCAGCTTATGCTTGTTAACGTATGCATACATAGCGAAAAGAGAATGCACATAATAGCCAAAAATGATCTATCAAAAAACATTATATAGAGACAATGGATGTTGAAAAATAAGTATTTATTCACATTGATGACATTCTGCAAGGAATAACTATTATTATGAGTATATAAAATTGTATGCAGGATAATGACGGTAGAATTCTAATGCGGCTCTGACATTCCTCTGTGATATGTCACAAAATATGCCATATCATGATGCCAAGCGGCTTATGTATCAACACCTTATACGTGAAAATACATAACTGACTGGCTTAAGTCATCGGCTGGCTTCTTCGTAGAGGAGCAAAGGAGTTTTAGGTTGACTTAGTTCGATTTTGGCCCTACGCTCCTTTGTTCTTTTCCGAAGTAGTCAGTGGATCACTTAAACCAGTCAAATAAGCGTTTTATGTATTCTCACCTCAACTCTTTTTTTACTGTCTTAAGTCATCGGCTGGCTTCTTTGTAAAAGAATAAAGAAATTGGTTTTGGAAATGTGTACTATAATTGTACGAAAAGTAAGTGGTACAAAATTGGGTATTGGCGGAAGGGATAGGGCTGGAATCCGAGAATTTGATATAGATGTAACTATTTGAGTCTGTGGTTTAAATATGGAGGTTTGGAAATGCGTGCTATATTTGTTCGAAAAGTATAAATAATGGTTGAACTTGGACTAAGTCAACCTAAAACTCCTTTGTTCTTAAAACGAAGAAGCAAACAGATGACTTAAACCAGCCAATAAAAAGAAAACAAGTTTTTTACTGGGTCAGTCGCCGGCTGGCTATTTCGTAAAAGAACAAAATATCTTAGGTTGGACAATTTTAAAAAACTGGCCGTGATGTCAGCAAACGGTCGGAATGCTGTCCGTCGTTCTGACCATTTGTTGACATCACGACCCGTTTCATGGCTAGTTTTACGCTGGTCATGAATATATATACTTTGTTAGGTCTAAAATTATTACCTCGTTGAGTTACAAACGGAATGACAAACCTAATATACCATCCATATCCTGGTGGAGAGCATAAAAAGGGTTACCATTTCGATTTGGCAAATGAGATTATCTTGTCAATTTTGCCATGAGAAACAAAGTTTATTTTTTTTGTTTAAAACTAGTATATTTTTAACAAATGCGCAACTGTGTTTAGTTAATTCCGTAAATATGCGGTTATTTGGCAGGGCAGCAGTAGCACAATGTCATGCTTGCATGAAAACGCAATTAACAGATAATTGAATTACGTAAACAACTGCCATTACCCTCGTAACCCCACTAATTACCATGTTCAATTTTTTTGATTCCTCCTCTAACGTCCTACCCCTGTAACAAATATCTGCTTGTGGACAGCGAAAGTAAAACATGATATGTAGACACGTTACCCACACACACACATGTATGTGTAGCGGCCATTTGAGTAGTTAATGAGGCAATTGTCCTGCTTCAAGTTTTTATAATTGATCACTTGCGGTAAAGTATACTAACACTAAGGAAAGGGGGCGTGGCCATTGTTGGTTAAACATTGAACTCAAATAAGCACCTATGGTATCGTATTGCATTCTCAACTAGGGTTAAAAGAGTCCCCACGACGCTTCAACTTAACATAAATTCAACTCTTTTGCCACATTCAAAGGTCATATGGCACAGTTCTCATGTCAATAATTTCACTGTTCAATAACAAATTATTAAAAGGCTCAACTCAACAGGGAGGAACCGAAACGTAATCGGTATTAGCCAGTGCTCTTTCATAATTTGATTATATATTTCGTTGGACCTCGCATCATTTCAAAATAATTCGGTAATTAGCGTTCACAGTCTGAACATGGGAAATAGTGTCGCCCTACAAAAGAGTAACAACGAAAGAAACGACCTTTTCAAAACAACAAATTGTTAGGGCCAGCCGCATTGTGTGAAAATCATTTTTTCTGGCGATATTCGCCAGTGAAAAAAGGTGGTTGTGTAGACCCTTTATTGTTAAGGGAAATGATTGCTCGTCTTTTCTATAAAAATTCTATATGGTCTCGATTTGCGAAATCTTGAAAGTGAATTTTATGTCTTTATAATGAATTTTAGATCACTTTAATTGAGACAGAGCTCTTCACGGCTACATATATGCAAAGGATGCTTTGGTGATTTTTCAATTTTGTATTGTTTTGTTTTTTTTTTTTTTCATTCTGACAATCAGAAAATATTCAAATAAACAAACAAACAATATCGGACGACCAAATGGATAGGCCGTGGCCAAGAAGCTACTGGTGTTAAATTTTAATATTCACTATTTAGTTGTTTCTATCGAAATTTGGAGCTAAATCAAGTAAAAATTGACAAAATGTCAATTCTAGTTGTCCTATTATCAAAGACAGGAAATGACATTGTTACATTCTGCCTACTCGGCGTTATGGTGGAGTTCCGCACTAGCTCAGGAGGGAGCGGTTAATCCAGGGGGTTCTCAACCCTGCCACCATCAACCCTAGGGAATGAACACTTAAAGAATTGTACTTGAATAAACACAAACACAGAAAATCTGAAAACAAACATACACAACATACACCTATGACACAGGAGCTTGATATTATTGCTCCCCCACTATGCCCACCCATCCTTGACCCTTTAGTCCAAATACACTCAAAAAAATTTAAAAAGGGCCCCAAAAAGCCACACACACTCACTTACAACGCCTAACCTCCTCTCTCACAAACAAAATTTAGCACAACATATTATTTCTTTTGACAATTAGACATTAAGCTTATTTATTAGAATCATTATCGTTCTCTTAAAACTAATTTCAACACGAACACATAAAAAAAAACTGGATTATTAATACCCGAACGAAAAACAAAAATTGTGAGTCAATACTCAGATTACCTTTTTTTTATTACCCTGCTAGAAGCGCCAAATTTGGCCAATACAAGTACTTTGAATTTCTGCCTAAAGGAGCTCACTTAGACAAATCTTTTGGGCATTTCAAATCTTTGTCCCAAACAGAAAAATCGAAATTTTCTAGCTGTAAAATTTTGAGGCAACCCTACACTCACTAACAATAAGATTTAATGGGCATTAATTTTCCTCACATTTGTATCTTAAGCACTATTTATCTAACTACAAACAATACGTTTAACTTATATACTAAACTACACACTAACAAACAAATATTTTTTATAGCTTCTTTTTTTCTTTTGGTCAAATTCGGATTAATTGATGAATTTCATATTTTTATTCTTTTTTCAGTGGTGTTTCCGTCAAAGGAAAAGGAACTTCATATGACTTTTTTCAGCGGGATTTGGCTTTCTTTCTTTTCTTTGGTAAGTAACTTAAATTTTGAATTACATTACCTTCACAACGGCATACTTAGGCAACTTTTTATCTTCTTTTTACAGATTTTTAGGTGGGATCTACTGGTTAGCTTCCCGGATTGGTACTATTGCCTGTTCCAAGGGCTATCCACTGGCAGTTTCCCAGGTCTTTTGGCCGTTTCCAGAACCTTTTCGTTGCCTGGAACCCCTGTGCCGCACCTGGCGATACAAAAATAATTGTTGGGGATGCCCGCTTCTTTTTCGTCCAAGTCGGATGGCGTTGTCCAATTGTGGATTTATGCGCGGCGTTATTCCTAAATAGAACACAAAAACTTAACACAACACATCCGACATAACACCACTTACAAATCAACACTTACAAATTGTTTAGATACGCCACACAAATAAAACAATAAAACACACAAATTGTAACTGCCAATTCAGTATTTCCTTTTTTTTATTCACAAAAAAAAACATTTAAAAATTGACTGAACTGTTTCTGTTCCACACCACTTTGAAATAATGGCGCTTTTAGCCCTCTCTGTGCTTTATATACGGCCACCAAGGACGCTCAACCAAACTTTCCCTCTTTTCCAAGATTTTCCCACAATTTCCCTGACATTTATTATTTACCTTTATCAGGTGTTCTACCTACCCACTATTATCCCCAGTGTTGTATTTTTGCAACACGTCTCTCATGTTGTACAATACACAACATGAAACTTGGCATCACTTTTTAAAATTTAGCCGGCCGCCCTGCGTATCCGGTTCTCTTTTTTGGCTGGCGTTCAGCACGTTCGGTGCATTAAATTGCATATTATAAAAATTTTGCAATGAGGATGAACGCAACAACATACTCTCACTTTATTGTACCTGGGAATTTATTTGAATGTTACCGAAATACGTCGAACGTTCAAAATTTCAATATTGAAAATTGCTCTGTTTCAGAAACTCCAAGAATATACTAGTTTTGCGATTTATTTATATCATTATGGCCATGGCACAATTACGGAAGGTAAAACAAAGCTACCTCCTAAATACAATTATTTTGGTGGGCCTATTCTATCAAAACAATGGCCCCTATAAGGCCGGTCAAGACAATACTTCATAGTTTTTGGATTATCGTGATTTGACTCTTTTTGAATTTGGAAATACCATTTATGTTTTGTGGATTTTCCGCAATATTGTAATTTTGAAAAAAAAGTAAAATAAACAATTGTTGCATGTTTAGAAGTCTATTTGACACAATAAGACTCCAGTACAGAGTTGCATTTTTCCTACTTTCTTTCAGATTGAGCAATCTTTCTTATTGAGCCATGATTAAGGCAATCTCGGTTGTCGTAGTAAACATTTTTACATTCTTTCAGCTCTGAAACAGACCAAATATGTTGAAATTAAAGACGAAAATTAGAAAAAATGAGAATGCTTAGAACTGGGAATGGCTAAAGTTGGAATAATCTAATAATATGTAGTTGGCATAAAGATTTCAATCTTGCGTATCTGGTACAAAATGTTGTACCAGAGTGGAAGGCGAGTAATTTTTTGTACCATACGTATGGAATTAATTAGGCCTCTAATAATGAAAATCATCTGAAATTATTTCAAATTTGGTGGTAACAAAAATTCATATCTTAAAAGTTTACTTGACGTGAACACAAGACAAATTGTCAGAGTTGTATTTTAAATACACACTTGCTCAATTATCTTCGTCACTGTCAAACATGTTACAACGACAATAAACAACGTCTGACATTTTGAAAGAACAAGAACTTTTGGAGAGTAAAGGTGTAAGTACATAAAAAGCTTGAAGTCATGGCTAGGCATATTTTGTGACATTTCATAAAGGGATTACAGAGCCGCACGAAAATCCTGCCGTCGATTTCCATTATAATTTGACATTAATATGCCTAGCCATGACTTCAAGCTTTTTATGTACCTGCACCTTTACACTTTTGAAAATGTGTCTATAAGGGTCGACATATAGTATGCTGGTTTTTGGGAACTTTCAATGCTTAATATTTGTAAACAATTACTTTGAATAATGTAGCTAAAGTCAAATCAAATTACCAAGTATCCGAAGGCAGTGTTATATATCTGTCATAGTTTAAACAATTCCGTTGAAGAAGGTGACTTAAATCATCGAACAAAATCGGGAGGTACCGCAATATGTGATCTATACCACAACTTGGATCTGTATGGACACTTCTTTACAAGGATGTTTCCTGCATAATGACTCCGTACCTTACTGGACCAAGTCAGGTGATTGACTAAGCGATACATTGACATTTGGAAGTAAAATCCTGATTTTACACTTATTAGGCAGAACCGGACATAACATTGTTTCTCCGATTCCATATCCGGTTCTAATCGAAAACGTTCAATTGAAAAGTATTAAATGATTGTCTTCCATCATCAAACAAATACATTGTAAGTAGGCATATTCAAATTCAAATAGCGGAGTGCGTATTTAAATTTATATATTTGGATATGTAAACATGCAAGAACATGCCTAATTTATTTGTGGAAAATAGGAAGATATTGGATGCCAAATCACACGCAGGAAACAAATGCTTTATGTTCCGTCAATTCGATGGGGCTGGCTAACTTGCATACACATGCAAGTCTGCCTCACTGTACACACGTACATGCGTTCGCTTGTGGCCTGCGGCCTCTGCTATGTGGATATGTTCAAATTAGCTGAAGGCAACGAAGCATTTCATGTACTCAAATAAATCAGAACACTGTTGACAAGAGGGGTCTCGCCCCCTGGCCATACATCTTTAGTTGGAGATGTAGTTCGTTTGCCAGGAATACCTCTGACAGTCGTTTATCGGTGCGGACTTTTCGTCTGTGAATGCAATCAACATCCCAACCATTGAGACTGCTCTCCGAACTCTCTGCGTTATTCATATGTCTGGCAATTTTCGAAACAAATTGCGATACTACATATGACATGTGTCGAAGCGTGAAATCACCTTGGGTTTCTAGCTCTTCGTTTGCGACAAATTTTGGAAGTAAACAATGCGATGTTGACTACAGTTGTTTTGCAATCACTCTTCATTTTTTTGAAGATCATCAGCCCACCAACAGCACGTGAATCACTGTGCAATGGATAAAACTTCATCATGTTATTTACTGACAAATTGTCTCGAATATTTCGAATAATTTCGGATCTCTCGAAGGGGATCAACGCCAATTTTGTTGCATTGCTGACAGATTCATTTTCATAGCGATGTGTATATGTTGTTGCTGTTGGATTTTAGCTCACACATGACATCGTTTACTTGTCATTTAGGTATGACATGTACACATGTATATGAATTCGGACGATACTTTTTGAGTTCGATTTTACATAGTGGAATCTCTAAAATTAGCACCCATTGTTTAAGGACTTTAAGGATAGAAAATGCACGCCTTAGGCGCATGTTGGAATTGAAAATAAATATTATTGAATATTGCGAAACCCATCGAAAGGAAAACAGTTGCAAAAGAAGTGACGATATTATTTTAGAATAATTAAAAAAACTTTTATAACGAAAATCGGATCTTTGATGCGATTCTCCAACTAAAAAACGACACAATTTAAGATAATTATAAGGGTTTACTTGATGTACATGTAATAGATTCGGCAATTTAAATACACTGGATTTACTTAATTCCGTAAACTTACTTAGTTGTGTCCGGTTAACCTAAAATTTGTAACAATTGTTGCAAATTGTTACAAGAAGTCGTCAGTTAACACAAAAGTTCTGCAAAAGCGAGCGACTCGATGCATATGATAACAACCACCGATTTGCGTCGTATAAGAAAACATTTAAAAATATACTTATTTTTGAAAAAAATATTATAAAAATTTTGACAAATCAATGTTGCCAATCATTGATGCTTCTACCTATATTCTTCTGCCATGCTTCCAACTCTTCTTAAAAACATCTTGTCATTTTTAATTTTTGCAGGAATTTCGTATGTTTACTATTCATGGTTTTCTGGCACAAGAGAAATAAGTTCCTTGACAATTCCTGCAGGAAAAGTAAACAGACACAAGACTAATTACAAGGTAGGGCAGAATGATTTAAAACCCCCTGAAGCAAGAATGTTGTAACTTCAAATTTATCAATAACAAATGCAACAATTTGTTTTTATTTGTCTCCCAATATTTTAACTAAAAGAAAATGGGGAAAAACAAATGGAGCGCCGTTGATTTATAACAACATAGAGTTCCTAATACAATAGCATTTCTTCTGTTTTCCCAAAACGGAAACATTAGTTCTTTCCAAAAGCTGTAACATGAATTAATCTGTACTTCCATCTGCATTGTTCTCGCTATCTATTACTTTATGTTACAATTTAGTTTACATACTTAGAAAAAATTCCAATCAGCAGGCAGTATTGTACCCATTGTAAAATATAGAATGTAAAGTCATTTCAAATACCAATATCCATCTCTGTATTTTCTGTAATTTACCTTGTCAAATGTCACCGCACAGAAAACAGGTTCCCATTTTGACAATGAGATGTTGTCAGATGAATAGTTTTGAAAAAAAAAAATTGGAACATATGATTCCATGACTCCACCTTTATAATTTTACCATGATTTGTATCATGGTACAATAAGGAGGTAGAACAGCTTCGTTAAACTACAGAAATACAGCCCTGATGCTATGCCCGCTTCCTGTCAGAATTATTCAAAAATATAGGCAACAAATTATTTTTATTTATTTGGTATTTTTTGTTCATTTCAAAAATAAGTCAAATAGCATGAAATGTGAATGAATTTCGCTCAAAAATATGATCCTAAGTGTTCAATCTTTCAATTCCATGGCAAATCTGGTTAATATTATTATTGCGGGCCCCGCAATTTTAGTTTCTTTCAATCAATGATTTTGAAAATGTTTTGTTTTTATTTTTCAAAACAACAAATACATACACAAAATTGGCAGAAGTCGGGCACACCTAGAAAAAATTGTAATCAGCCTTAACTTTTTATTGTACCATGGATTTGTATATACTTTTAGCCATGACAAAATAACTGAAGATGGAACAAAGCTACCCCCTAAATGCAATTTTTTCTTTTGGTGCCCTTATTCTGTCAAAACATATACACATTTTGTGTATGTGTGTGTGTATAGTTTTGAATAAAAAATGCACTAATTTGAAATTATTTCGAATTTGTTTGCAAAATTAATGCACATTTTTGACGTAAATGGGTAACAAATTGTACAATTTTGTGATAAAACTGTATTGAGCTACAATTTTATATTATAAATTATTATATAGATATATAAAATATTATATAGAATAACCCCGAAATTCCATTCTTGTTTCGCGGGTTTTCCTGAATATAAGAATTTTGAAAAAAAAAAATTAAAAATAAACAAAACCAACTGTTGTATATTTAAAAGTCTATTTGTCACTATAAGACTTCGTTACAGAGTTGCATTTTTCTAGTTTCCTAGAAGTTGAGAAACCTTTCTTATTGAGCCGTGCTTTTAGCAAATTTAGTACTTTTTATTTATTTATATATTTTTTTTTTTGCTTTTCAAATTGGAAAAGTTTTCCAAGATTTTCCTCGTGTGGGAACACACAACCGTTGTATGTGCGCAATTCCAGAGATGGAACCTATGTTTACAGTTAAATTAGTCGAAAAACGCAAAGACTTTCGAAAGAAAACTATAAAACATAACTATTTTACAAACACATCCTGGCAGGGCCCCATAGTAAATTGTAGGCTTTAGCTCCCATCTGTTTAAAATTGCCAGTCACGCTCCTTTGTTCTTTTACAAAGAAGCCATATTTAATTTCATTAAGAATCATCAATCTGTCCTCTCGAAGTATTCATGACTATTTTTGCCTGGAAAAGCTTCAAGGCTTTGTTGTTCTTTTTGAACTACGACATTTCTTTAGGAAATTTATTTACATTCGTCAATTTGGTGAGCAGCGGTTAAATGCTTTAAAGTTATTGCTGTCTTGAATCTTAAATAAAATTGAAATTACATATTGCAGTTTAGAATATTTTACTTTAGAATTCGATCCCTAGTGAAATCCGTATGTTCTAAGTTTAAGTTCCAACTGACATTTTCACCAAAAAACAACAGAAATTACAAAATGAACTTGTTAAAAAAAGAAAAAAAAACATTTATTAACTGTATAATAGTTTTATTTATTTTGGTATTTTGGTGCTACATTCGAACACAAAGATAATACCTACTTGTTTGTATGTATGTAGATGTGTATGATAGCTTATAAACACAGAAAAAAATAATTTAGAAAATTAAACACCAATGCACCTATTTAAGAATTATCTACAAATTTATTTTAAGTTATTATTGTAAAGAAATCAAAAGGAAAACATGAAATACATACCCACGTATGTAGCTGTGTACTTTAACATCACACACACAAATATACACGAGTTTGCTAATGGCCATATGCGACTGACTAAACAAGTGCCACCAAAGAGACAAGCAGTGTGGTTGCTGTTGTTGTTCCTTTACAAATTGGTAAATTGGTCACTTAGTGCAGCTCATCTCGGTCGTTAATAATGAATAGGCGTGGCATTTATTCCTATAAACAACAAGAGCAACAACAACTCAGGCATAAAAACAGAATGACGATGTGAAGGATGGTGCGGTGCGGAGCGGTGTCGTTAGCAATGATGTGCCATTACGAGTCGAATCATGCAGAACAGCAATTAAGTAAACAAGCTACAAGCTTTTTTTCTGTGTTCGAGCTAACAACCAGAAAATGACACGCCAAATAATGATTCATGATAACAACAACTACTCCAACACCAACAAAGAAGAAAACAAAACATAATTAGCTGGGAAAACAAATGAGCAACCAATTGTTTTTCTCTATGCCTCTCTCGTTCGCTCTCGCCTGGAGATTGCCGTTCAGCTCGGTCACAGTGGATTCGTTCGTTCATTGGCATGCGCCATGTTGGATTCGTAATTGGGAGGCGGAGTCAGTGATTTGTGTGGTGACAGACAGCGGTGCGGCGCTTCATGCTGCCGGCTGTGTGGTGGTGGTTGCCGTGTCGCTGCCAGGAGCTAAAAGAGCTTCTCCGATTGGGGCATTGGCCAATGGGTGTGAGCACGAAATATACGTTTTCTGTACGCTACGTGACGATTGATGTGCTGTAAGCGACGTCAGTGCAAACAACGGATACGTTCAGTACGCCGGAGACCTTTAAACGGTTCACTTAAGAGTGTGTCAATATTTGTCTTGTTAAGAAATTAATATCAAAAAAAAAAAAAAAAAAACAAAACAAATCAACTTCAATTAAGAATCCAGAGAATCCCTTTCAATGATGATATCAGGTGTTGTGCGGCTTGAATTATCGACTAGCCAACGGTGATTAGTACTGCAGGTGTGTGTGTTTGTGTGTGAAGAATATGTGCTCATGACAACTTAGTTTTTATGATAAACACCAGATTAGCCAATCCAAGTTGATTGAAATATACCTACTTAGCTATTGAATAAATATATACATAAAAGTGACAAAATGGACTCCGATCTACCGACAAAACTGAGCAAGTTCCCGACCCCCTTCTCCATAGAGAGCCTCATAGCTACTCAGCATCAAGCTGTTCAAGAAAACAACAACAGATCCGTCGTCGACGCAGGCCTATCGAACAACAACGATTTAACGGACGAACTCAGTGCCAGAGCAATGGTCGCATCATCGGCGCTGGGATTAACTAACTTCCCACTCTACAATCCCTGGCTGCATGGCTATTTCGCTCAGAACCACGACAGGATTTCTCAGCTATTGGCAGTCAATGGAGATTATATGGCGAATAGTCTTTTAAGGGATCAACATTTGAAGGAATCCATAACCAAAGCGAATAACATTGGCTTGAACGGCTCAAATTCGCTACCACTAAACTGTAAAGTTTCTCCAGATCCAGAAACACAGCTACAGCAGACACGTTTCCTAATACCGGGTGCGGCATTTGGTTTAGGAGCGATACCATCATCCGCGGCCCTCAATGATACCATACTCCAGCAATCCGCCACTCTCGGAACTGATTTGACATCCCGGCAAAGACTAGCCGAAATAATGGCAAATGGCTTGACGACGGAGAATGTTCAGAATCTGTCGATTAATTCACGCTTTGCCAACAAGGTTTTCAATGATGCCGCCGCACTGAGCAGTTCGTCCAACAACTCGAATTCGATGTCCTCGTCGTCCCATAATGGAAAGCAAGATGCTGCACCTGGTTTTGGCCAGCATCCATCTGAGGAGGGATCTGTGGACGTTGTTGACGATGATTACGATTGCAGCGGCGATTCGTGCAGCGACATTAGCCTGACCATGTCACCACAGAATTATAGAAATGAAATGGACAAAAACAAAGGTAATTTGAATTACAATCTGTGTCGATTTATGAATTCTCTTTAAACGTTATTGACGACCTACTCCATCCAGGCAATGTCCTCTATCTCACCAAGGCAGGCGCCTTCTGATTTTAAATAGGTAAATAGACAATAGTCTACATTATTGGATTACAATTTATAGCCGAATTCTACCTCAAGGAAGCATATGATAAATTTCCCCCTTATCAATTCTACCATGGAAAGAGATTTCTTTTCAACTTCAACTTAAATATATTTTTAGGGATTTAAGTTTTATTAGATCCTTATACATAGGGGTATAGAGAAATCTTGTCCCCGTAGTAAAATTGACAATTCGAAAGAATAAAGGTGAGAATACATAAAACGTGTTTTTGACTGGCCTAAGTCATCGGCTGGCATCTTCGTAAAAGAACAACGGGGTTATAGCTTGACATAGTTCGATTTTGACCCTAGGTTCCTTTGTTCCTTTACGAAGAACACTTTATGTATCTGGACATTTATAGTGAGAATACATAAAACGTATTTTTTTTGACTGGCATAAAGGTGAAAGGCTTTTTTGACTGGCTTAAATCATCGGTTGGCTTCTTCGTAGAGGTACAAAGGAGTTTTAGGTTGACTTAGTTCGATTTTGGCCCTACGCTCCTGTGTTATTTTCCGAAGAAGCCAGCCGATGACTTAAGCCGGTCAAAAAACTTTTTATGCAATTCTCAACTTTGGTCATCGGTTGGCTTCTTTGTAAAAAAGCAAAGAAGTTTTAAGGTGAGAATACATAAAAAGCTTCTCTGACTGGCTTAAGTCATCGGCTAGCTTCTTCGGAAAAGAACACAGGAGCGTAGGGCCACAAAGGAGCGTAAAGGAACAAAGGAGTCTTAGATTGACTTAGTTCGATTTTGGTCATACACTCCTTTGACCTTTAGCAAAAAAGCCAGCCAATGACTTAAACCAGTCAAAAAAGCGTTTTATGTATTTTTAATTTCAACATAGAAAAAAATAATTAATGTTAAATTTTCAATTTTCGTATACCCGACATATTTCGGTAACATCCATATAAATACATGTGCTTAACTCCTGTTGTGGAAAAAACGTCGACCGAGTTCGACGAATTTTATTGAACGCTGTAAAATTTAAATTTACAGCCTGTGGGGATATTTTGCGTTTTAATTTACAAGACTCTAGCTCCAGAGTTGTATTTTTCACAATAATTGAATCCGCCCTACCTTGTAATTTTTTTTATCATGGGTAACACAACCAAACAAAATTAACTCTCTCATATCCGCTCTCTTCTAAATACAAAAAAATACCTATATAGAATGAATACCGAAAGATTTAAAATTTGTACATTTATTCCTTGAAATGTCCTCTGTTAATTCATCCCGATGACAAAATGTCCGCATTCCCACCATCAGAACCGAGGCAAGAATTGAAAAGCATAACAAAACACAACATCGAACGTTCCATTAAATGTGAATTATGAGCAGGGAGTTGAGCATTGAAACCGATAACGTCAAATAACGACAGCGACAACAGCAACAACAACAAAAACAATTGTCGCCTAAGTAATTTGGGTTTAAATGTGTCCGTGCATCATTTGTGCCTTTCGCACTTACACGGATGACTTGTCTCGCAGTTATTCTGGCAGAGATTTATATTCGTCGTTTGAGATGTTTGTGAACTTGTCGACTGTGTCATAATCCAACCACTAATCACCACTAATCATCAATAAAGTTCCTCGCAGCCCACCGCATCCATATGGCTGGACTGTATGATGTTCGCAACGAAAGTCACCCCCTCGCTCCTTCTTCGGGGCGACAGTTAAATATTAACAACCCAATGTTAATCGGGCATTTGTGTCGACAATACGACGACGTCATTGGTGTTGTTGTTTCATTATTGTATCATCGAAAGAAAATTGTTTATTTACTGATGATGTACACTTGCGGCAGTCGTCAGAGCGGGGCGGCGGGGCGGCGGGGCAGCAACACTTACTGATTACATCCATACAATATTTCACGCAGTCATTCGTAATTCAGTTATGAATATTTAATTTCTCCTTACACAAACAAATTGAATCGATTCGTTTCGGCCCATGCATGTTTGAGTGAGTGAATGAGTGACTGTATGTTACGACCCATCTACTGTGAAAAAGAAAACCATGAAGCCGCCTTCAATTAAATCCAACAGGGATTGAATGGATTACTTCAGTTTGCCGAACACTGTTTCATTAGAAGTTAGTTAAAACGAGATTCTTGACTTGGAAAACATTCCTGATTTTTTCGAAGGTTTTTATTTGATTAAAATTTCCGATCTTGAAAACAGTGTTTCTTTATAAAATATTCTCCTACACTTTTTGCAAGAAAATGCTCGCATAGCGAAAGAGATTGTCAATAAAACGCGTCCTTATTTGTTATACTAATTTAATATTAAGAAGGTATGTCTGCGACGGAAAATATAAAATATTGGTTTCATCTAACTTTAGCTTGTAGTGGAGTTTTAACTGTTTAATCTTCCTTTTCAGATTGCTAGCCAGCAATAAAGCGCTTATTTGACTGGCTTAAGTTATAGGCTGGCTTCTTCGAAAATGAACAAGAAGTCTAGGGCCGAAAATCAACTAAAAGAACCTAAAACTCCTTTGTTCCTCTACGAAGAAGCCACCCGATGTCTTAAGCCAGGCAAATAAGCGCTTTATGTATTTCCACCTTAAGTTTGCAACAATTAAAAAAATTGGAAGGTAATACTTCAAAATAGACATATCAGCCAATCAAACCTACTATTTTTACTCGGCCAAATTTAGGTTTACATTGCAGCATGATACTTGCTCTGTTCCAGAACCTGCAAGAATCTACTAGTTTATCAATTTTTATACCCTCCACCATACATAGTATGGAGGGTATATTAAGTTCGTCATTCCGTTTGTAACTCATCGAAATAATCATTTTAGACCCAACAAAGTATATATATTCTTGATCAGTGTAAAATTCTAAGATGAGGTAGACCTGTCCGTCCGTCCGTCTGTTGTAATCACGCTACAGGCTAAACGAATTAAGATAGAAAGCTAAAATTTTGCCCAGATCTCTCTTTTGTCTGCAGGCAGATGGGCTATATCGGTCCACGATATTGTATAGCCCCCATATAACGGTACCCCCGATATCCGGTATTTTGATGATTTTAGCCACATTTTTCAATGAAATTGTATGAAAATCCACACAAGCAGTTCTTTAAGAGCACTTCATCTTTTGGCAGAGAATTATCTATATAGGTCCACGATATCGTATAGCCCCCATGTAACGGTAACCCCCGATATTCGGTATTTTGATGATTTTGGCACATTTTCTAATAGAATAGTCTGAAAATCCACACGAGGAGTTCTTTGTTGGCACTCTACCCCCTGAAAGAGAATTGCCTATATAGGTCCACGATATCGTATATCCCCCATATAACGGTACCCCCCGATATTCGGTATTTTGATGATTTTAGCCACATTTTTTAACGGAATTGTCTGAAATTCTACACAAGGGGTTCTTTGTGAACACTTTAGCCCCTGGCAGGGAGTTCTCTATATAGGACCATGATATCGTATATCCTCCATATAACGGTACCCCAGATATTCCGTATTTTGATGATTTTAGACACATATTCAAACGGAATTGTCTTAAATTCTATAAATTTGTCTATATAGGTCCACAATATCGTTTATCCCCCCATATATCGGCACCTTCCGAGATTTTAACAGAATGTTTAATGGATTCTATTTTTATTTTTTGAAAATGTCCTAAATCGTTCCAAATGGTGGAGGGTATTCAAAGTTCGGCCCGGCCGAACTTATTGGTTTTTCATTTTTTTTTTTTTGATATTGTAAAGAGAAAGTCTCTTATCGTAGTAAAAAGTTTTGCATTTTTGTAGTTCTGGAACAGATCAACTGTATGTATTCTGGGACATTACCATAATGTACATTCTTTTAATATCTACATTCCACTGTGCGGTGTCAACATTTTAGTTGTCCAACAGAGTCGTCATTTCGCCCACAATTCTTACTTTCCGGTCGTTTTTTTATTTTGAAATATGAAATGTTTTAATCTATCCAGACCGCAGACATTTGAAATGAATGCTCTACCCCCACTGCCACGTCTTCATTGTTGCTGTCTGCGTTTTGCCTCCTGTTCAGCTTGAATGAAGCTGTTGGCAACTGAGAATGAATTATGCGAGTCAGTCCGGGATTGAGTTATTTGCTGAATTCTGCTGCTGGAAGAGTTTACCCCCGGCGAGTGGCTGTTGCCGGTTTGGTGAAGTGGGCGGCGGCGGTGGTGGTCGACCGTTATGTTGCCGCTGAGGAGGACAGGATGATGACGATGAGATGGCAAAGTGTAACGTGTGTCAACATGTCAGTTGTTTGCGTTAAAAGCGTTTACGATGTACTTGACTTGGTTTTCACAGTTTTCATTCTAATTTGATTGACATCAGACACTGGGTTCTTAATGCTATTTATGCTAATTTTGCCATTGTTTATTGTTTCGCTTCCCCGTTGGAAAAGTTCATAATTAGATATGAGATGCCTATTTAAAGCCGTCACAAGAATCCAACATGGATAAGCGTAGCAGATTTAGAGGATTTAAAACAAAATCTCTTACCGATTCCATTTTCATCAGCGAAGAATGGGTGTTGCACAAGATTTGGATTCTCTTCCGGACGAAGTAAAGAGTTGTCTTACAAGTGCTCACGTTTTATTGGAACCAGTCCCTGACTTGTTATATACCCGGTCATATGGCTACTGAGCCTATATATCATGGAAATATCGAAGATGGGAAATATCGGTTCACTCCTTTTGGTACCTCACAACAAAAGGTGAAAACTTAAAAAAAATAAGTTACCTCATATAACAAGCTGCTGAGTCCTGTTTGAATGTCCAAGGTCTGCGGCCAAAATGTTTGCGTGCCGAAGGTGTACATTTTCAGCTGACCTCTTTGACAAGTAAACGCCATGATTTTGTTTGTTTACAAACTGCAGGACAACGAATGTTTTCTCATCGGAGAAAACCAAATTCGGCAGTTCACCACTTTCGGCCAAGCGAAGCAACTCTTTAGCTCTTTTAAGTCTATTTTCTTTCTGTTGCGGTGTAAATTCTAGCACTTTTGGAATTTCAATGGCTTTACCCGAGCTAATTTTTCAATATTTGGAATATTGCGATATGTTCAGCTCACGAGCCATTTTTCGGTCACTGCGACGCTGGTTTCGATCAAGCCGCTTCTTTACTTTTCGAATCATTTCAGCTGAAAAAAAAACAAACTTTTTATCTATGTTTTTTTATATTTTTGCAAAATAAGTTGCGTGGCGTATAAAAATAACCCGCTTTCTCACCAAAATCAAGAATTTTGTACGGCTGAATTTTGAGAAATGTTTAATACTTTGACAAAATGAAAAATATTCTTATGTTTTCAATATTTTTTTATTTTCTAATTTGAAAACTTCAATTCAACAATCAATAGATACACTGTCAAGTTAAAAATTTTCAACTTGATTATTTTGGTAAAAAAAATAAAAGGCTTTTTTTCATTTGAAAGACATTAAGCATCTTTACAGGCGCAGATGGAATTAGTTTGACAAAATTTGTGAAAGGTGATGTTGGACGGTATGGCTTGTACTGTTAGAATTACCATAAATACACAAGCAACAAATTGCTTGGTTTACTTAATTTGTTATAAATAAACAACACAGAAAGGGAATTTAAATTCAAAGTTTCTTTACAAAATCCCGTTACTTTAATTCTAAAGATTTGTATCTACAATTTCTATTACAATTAATTTCAATTCTTTGTAAAAAAGTGTCATATAATTGAAAATAATGTAATTGTTATTGGCATTTTAAATTCTAAAATCCAAATGCCTTTAACTTCGCAACTGAAAATTGTTATGCTAAAAAAGAGGAGGCAATAAAATGTTCTAAACGAAAATCATTAAAGTTTTTTTTAACAAATCAGTGTTGGGTTTTTCTCTGTTCGTATTCTTTCTCTTTCAATTTCAAGTCAAAACTTGATTGTCAGATGGGCCTTCTGACCAACCTTATGTAGGCCTTGATTGTTGATTTTATAAAAAAAAAGGTTATTTATTAGTGAAGAAAATTAGTAATGTTTACCGGGAGGTTGGGTAGAGAATACAATGCATTCGAAAAGCGTCACCAATCCTCACAAGTTCCCTCCGTTTTGTCTGGGAATATTTTCCCCAGGAGTTATTCGAAAACAACTCATATAACAAAAACTTTCTACGCCCAAGTAACCAACACAAAATCAATAGATGTGGACACAAAGGATTGACATTTCTTCTAAATCTAACAATTTCATTCTATCACCCCAAAAAAAACTTGGTTCTCATAGTAGTCGCAAGTGGGTACTGTAGACCTGGTTTGAGCCACAAACTGTGCACATAAATTGATGGCATTGCCTTTCTTTTCCTCTTTTCAGCGTACAATCACACCGACAGCGAAGACTGCTCCGACGATGAGGGCAATTCGAATGGCCACAAAGACCCCAACAACAGTGGAGGACAGAGTTCCAAATCGCGGCGGAGACGAACGGCCTTTACATCAGAGCAACTTTTGGAACTGGAAAGAGAATTCCATGCCAAAAAGTACTTAAGTCTGACGGAGAGAAGCCAAATTGCAACCAGTCTTAAATTGAGTGAAGTTCAGGTATGTATGAGCGGAACCGGCGCTTACGCCATTAAACTGTGACAGTGGCATAATTGATGCTTTCCTTACCAGGTCAAAATATGGTTCCAAAACCGAAGAGCCAAATGGAAACGTGTCAAGGCTGGGTTGTCGTCGCACGGCTTAGGTCGCAACGGAGCATCGGGAACGAAAATTGTTGTGCCCATACCAGTCCATGTCAATCGTTTCGCTGTTCGCTCGCAGCACCAGCAAATGGAGAAAATGTGCCTGAGTGGTCCCAAGCCAGACTTACGGAAAAAGATCACCTCTGACAACAGCGGATTCGAGAAATTCAACGCCAACGTCACAAGTCCCAGCACGCCTTTATTGCCGCCAAATACAGTCAACACACCTGCCACCTCTGCCGCCGTCAACTTGTCGGCTTTGACGGGCACCCTGGCATTGGCACGTAGTATTTATTAGCCACCTCTGGTTCCCATTTATGGTGCACTGTAGATTTCTAGGCATGTCTCTCTATTGTGTTTCCCCGTTTCCTGACAACACCTTATGTTTCGCTAGTTAAGACAATTTTTTTTTGTAAATAAATAAATAAAAAAATAAAAAACCAAAATAAAGTTAAGAACTCGAAGTTTAAATCAAAAACAAGATATGATTAATTGTCTTTAACATCAAATGGAGGGCCCAAAAACGAATGCAGAAACTATCTGAATCTCTGGCACAGCAAAGGACTACACCACGAGCACTGCAACCGAGCGTTGCTGTTTCAGTTGCTGGGGATAGGGTTGTAGGTGCAAAAATTCGAGAGTTTGAGTTACAGAAAGTCAGACTGACTTTCGTTCGGATTGAATTTTTTTAATGGGTCGGCAACTGTTTTTCAGGGTGTATAAAGTCTGTCGACTTGTTTTTAGTTATTTAGTGGCAAAGACCAATGTTCAGTTCCAAAACCTGCAAGAATGTAATAATTTTACCACGATAACGATAGCATAGTATTAGAACACTAACAAGTTCTAGTACGGATACTACTTGAACACAGAAAATTGGCTCAATTTACTTTCATTTACTAAATTTTTTCTCATTTACTAAAAACAGACAAAAGAAAGTAACAACACACAACACAATATTGAAATTTATACGAATATGCCTGTTGTATACGGATAATTGCTCCGTTCCAGAACTGCAAGAATGTGAATAATTTTATTACGATCCCTGCAGGCTCTCGGACAGAGCAAATATAAAAAAATATATGTTTCTAATGTGAAACAAGTAAAAAAACATGAAAATTTAATGCCCTCCCCCTTTGGATAAAGAATACATGTTTTTATAATAGTATTTGAATTCAAACGTGTTCTACTTTAAACTACAAATGCCAGTGAGACCGTTTGGATAATGCTGTTAAACTTTTCAAAAAAACAATAAAGTGTTTGAGGCCGTTGTATGGGGGCCATACCAAAATGGGAACCTCTAAAGACAATTTCATACTTCAACGATTGTCATCTACCAAATCTTCTTAAAAACCAAATTTGAAACAATTTCGTGGGTAAATATAACTAGGCTTATCAAAATACCAAATATAGGCGATTATCGTCATAAATTAATAAAAAAAATAATGTGCGCTATACATACAATATTCCGCCACAGGAGCTGGAACCCATTATGACCCACAAATACCAATTTATAGACAAATCCGCGAAAAAAAATGTGCGAAAATCATTAAAATAAGGAATATCGGAAGGTACCGTTATATGGCAGCTATACCAAATCATTTTCAATACCAACCATCGCAGACACTATACAAATTGCTCTCCCAAGCTCTACGTCAAATAATGTGATCATTTCAACAGACGGACATCGTTAAATCGCCTTAGAATTATATGCTGATTATGAATATATATACTTAATAGGGTCTATGACGAATATTTAGGGATGTTACATACGGAATGACAATGTTAATAAAGCCTCCTTTTCAAATGGAGTCAAGTGAATTTGACAATTATCAATTTTACAGCGTTATCATTTGGTAGTTTTGAAAATATGGACCCAGCGTATTTGGCAAAACATCCGTACAAAGCAATATACCATAGCGGGGAAGTTGAAGTTTGTTGTACGCAATGTTGAAATGTAGCTAAGTCTGTAAATCCTGTACGTCACATATTAAGAAGTAGTGAAAGAACATGAATTAAAATTACAAAAAAAAACATACGTTGGTCCAAGAAGAATTCCAAATTTAAAAGACTGAATGCACTTTTCAATCTCAGACTAGATTGCAATAATTATTCCCCCAAAATACTCGCTAATTAACTACATATTTTGCAAGAAAGTACTCTGTAGCTGGACAAGGGTCATCACTCTCAAGTAGGAACGACGTGACGAATTAATTTAGAATGTTACCTACATTCTCGAAGTTATTGAGAGAAAAATAAAGAAAAGCAACTCAAGCGTTAATGTCGCTGTGTCGAATTGGAACAATTTAATGGTACAATTTGTGACAATCAAACGACATTAAATGTACTACTCGCCAGCCGTCTGGGCAACGATTATCGGGGACCTCCTTATATGTCAAACACATTCAGTAGCCCATTTCTAGTGCGAGAGAGGAAATCCACAGCAGTTTACACACATCACAATCACTGTCCATTTATTAACGACTCCAAACAAATAAACAGTCAGTCACTCCAGGTGTATCACGCGTCACGCCTCTTCAACTGATTTTCTGCCTTTGGTTGGTTGTCAGGCAAAAATTGGCATTGGCATTCACACACACACTCAAGCACTCTAGTCGGCAGCAATGTGTTGGTAGCCAACCCTTACTTACTCGTGGTTTTCGGGGCATTGCGAGTACTTTTCACTGACTTATTGGCTTACGAGTCGGCTTCATTCCCTATGCCTGTTCGAATGTAGGCATGTTGCAGCTCAGCACAAGAAAAATCGAAAGTCACAACTGCCTTAATAGCTGTGACAGCATCCGAAGCAGGAACGGGGACGCGTTAAATGGGCAACATCGTAAATTTACCCCTGATTGCAGCTCTGAATTGCCAATGTGTGAATCGGTACAGTGCCATTGTGGGGAGAGCTATTAATAATCATTGCGTTGTTCTTTTTGTTGTTGTTCATTTGGTGACAAAGTGACTTTTAAGTAAATGCGACAAATTGTTTTCACACAAACACACATCGAAAGTAATAAAGACAAACGGGGGGTAGGCTAAACAGGCGGTCGACTGCAAAACAATGTTGCAAAAGTATCACTATGTTCTTCCGACAGATGTATACCCATAGCCAATGTTCGATTATTTAAATATATTTTGACTTCTGTTATGATTATGTTGACTCTATGGAGTAGGTTCCGAAGGAATGGTCCAATATTCCCCATTTCGTAAGTTAGTTGGAAGCTTATTTTGCTTTTTTTGAGCGTTTTCATTATTGAAAATGGTCCGATCTCTATCATCTTTATAACAAAACTTGTGTTTGAAAAATTGAGATGCTCCAAGTCTGAATTGAATCGGATGTTAATTTCGCGTTTTATGAGCGTTACGGATATTCAAAATGTTGACCCTCTGTGGGTGAAGTACCAGAAGGATGGGTCCGATGTATTCCATACTAACAGCGGACCTTGGGTTAATAAAAAATATTGTGATGTGTGGATTTGAAGACAATCACATTTTATAAAACCTAAAATATTCAAAATGTTGACCCTTTGTGGGGGAGGTACTTCATGGAGTTGGGCGATATAGTTCATTTTCGTGTCTAACCTAGCACTAATGCAAATATTAGGATTGGCAAAGGTAGAGCGAAATCGGATTATCTTTCTCTTTCTGTGCAGTAAAATATTTTTTTTTTTGAAATTTTCGATTTTTTTTTTGTGGGGAGGGGGTGCCAGAAGGAGTGGGGCACCAGGGGGGTACTAGAAAGAGTGGACCGATATTTTCCATCTCCGAACTCGATTTTAGTTTGATAATAATATTACAATGTACCAAGTTTGGACCAAATCGGATACTCCCTTCTAGTGTTATCATGCGCACCAGCCAGACAGACGGACGGACATCGTTAGATCGACTCCAAATGTCCTGAAACGGATTTTGTCCAAAGAGACCTAGGGTCTAAAACTGTTATTTCGATGAGGCACGTTTTGGCCGTATCAAATGATACATACCTTCTGGAGTCATATGGCTGAGGATATTTGCATGTTTCTACAATTTGTTAACCGCCCTCGTTTCATGGACACATAAAACGACATCGCCCTTCGCAACGGTTTCTGAAAACCAACCCTCAACACAAATTACGAAAAGCTGCGAGTCGATTTGCACAATGGGCTACGATTATGGGCAGAGACGCCAATCCATTATGCGACAAACAACAGCAGCGATCATGTTGCAAGACACGCCTCCCGAAATACGGAAAACATTGTAGCAATTTTATTTCAACACAACTCCCAACTCGCCGCACACAAGCAGACAATAAAAGTCAAACGGAATGTCTTTTCGCTCGCTGCCGGAACTACTTTGTGGATAATTTGTTGACGCTGCCGCTGCCACTGAAAGTGTCGCCCCCCATCGCTTGGCCGTACTGCTACGATAACAAAAGCGCGATTTTTTTATACCTACCTAACTGACTTGAGTAATATTGTTATTGTAATGGCTTTTTAACGAAGGACTCTTTCCTTGCCTTAGTAGGCAAGGACATGGGTAAATTTGCCTTGTTAATTGCGGAATCAAGATTCACCCCATGCTCTGATATAAGTACGTAATTGCACGCCATATTCAATTCGGCATTATTTGACAATTAATTATCCGCGGAATGATCCGTTTCTGTGTAGAGAAGCGTAAAGAGCAACCACAGATCAAGGACAATTCAGATTCAACGCAGAACAAGCGAGAGGAAATGAAATCAATTTGTGAATGTTTGGGATTTCGGTGGTGAACAGGAACGTAACAGGCCTCTGCTACCCAAAGGAAGAGGGGTGGGACGAAAGTCTAATTCATCATTATTGCAAACATACTGCTGGTTATGTTTCATAATTCATCATTAAGCCCAGCAACGCCTCTGCAGTATAGTCATCGTCCCATGGAACCTTCAATAATTCTTCTATTTATTAATTATTAGCATTTTCAGTTGTAATCTACTTGGCGTTACATTATCATTTGTTTCATGGGTGACTTTTTACGATATTATATTCTGCATAATCCACTAATTTTTTTTGCCAATCGGAACCATTCAAGGTAAAACAAATTCTTCTTTCAAATACCTGATCTGTTACAGAACCTGCAATAATTTGTTAGTTTTCCAATTTTATTCGCTATCATAAAGGTCAAATCGGTCATCGTGCTAAAAAAAATATACATTCTTGCCGATCTGGAACAGACCAACCGTTAGCTACCGTGTTGATATCTGTATTTCTAACACACGAGTACCATAACTTAATAATTTGCAGTTCGATGAACTAAAAGTCCAGTAAATTTGAGTGAGTGAGAGAGTATACAGGGTGAGACAAAAAACTGCAACAAAGTCAAACGCCTTAATTTTTATTATTTTTTTAAATTTTATTGAATGAAAGCAAAAATTTCGGATACAGCATCAAATTTTAGAATAAGTTTAGATTTGCTCGAATTGGTCAACTTTGGTACGAAT